AGGCCTGTCGTACATTGTAACCGACTCGCCCCCAAGTCACTGTGCTCCTTATCTCAGTGGCTTCCACCGGCTGATAACGCCACAGCCTAAACATGCTTGATGATGATTGGGGATTGTTTGGACATACTTCACTACATTGGTCAGTGTGGATTGGTGAAGTCGAGACGGGGGAGGGGGTAGGTTAGGACCGCTTGAGATGTTTCTCTGCTTTTGGCCGGAAATCAATTGCAGGTCGTCCCAGTTCACGGTACAGCTAAATTCTGCGCCGCTGCTCCGCCTCTACAGGGTCACAAAATAAACAAAGATAGAGCTGTAATTGTTCCTATTTCGTATTGCTAATGTAATTTATCTGTGTGTGGATTAAACTGCAGTTTATGACTGGTGAAGCAAATCTGAAAGTGTTATGACTAAGATATTTTCAATGCAATGGCCTAATCAGCAACTGGTGACACAATTAAAGCGGCACCTTATTTTAGACCCCATGAGGGATGCCTAAATAAAGAACTAATCACAGTGTTATTATTAATTCATTATTATTATATGGGCACACTGCTGTGATAGCTACTGGGGGGCACTGATGCGATTTTCATTTGGACTCATGTTCAAGCACGCAAGGCTCCTTCATTCGGCATCAACACTAACTGTTCGGAGCATTTACAAGGACTCATGTCGAATATGTACCCACGTGGGTTCCAATAATGTTTCATAATAATACGTGGTATCGTTCCAAGTTCCACCTTGAAAGTTACAGAGATCTGATTTTTTTATTTAAGAAAATGATTCCATCAGCCGTGTAATTCCTGGCAAACCAAGACCAGCGCTCTACAGTTTTTAAAACACGTGGCAGACCAAAAGGGCCCATCTGTAGCCCTCCAAGCTGTGTTACTCAAATCCGCTGCACGCGAGACAGAAGTTCTAATCTTGGAAAGTGTGGAGCAGCGTGGACAACACCGCGCCCCGTCGCACACGCTCTCGTGAGTATCCCAGAGCTAGAGACGATGGCCTTTGGTGACCTTTAGTGACTATACATCACTCAATGTAATTGAGCCTCACACGAGGTCACTGTCAACTTGTGGTTTTGGAGTTGCACGGTGATTGAGCTGTGGCTTTGTTTTCATTAATCCACGAACCGCCATATGATCACTCACGGCTAAGACAGAGACCACAGCAATGCAGGGAATCACTCGGCAAACGAATATGTTGCACATTCGCTCCACGGATTCATACAGATTTTTTTTTCCGGTGCAGCAGCAGCAATACCCCAACTTGTATGAAAACAATCTGGTAATAATCTTCATGTAACACTCACGCGAAGTGAGATATATGCAGTTCTTGTGCTTGAGGTGGAGAGCGAGCAATGGTGCGCAGATCGCATTCTTTACTGGCAGCGGTGAGCTTGCGGTGAGAAAGACGAGCAGGGAAACGTGGCCACAAATGCAAGTCCGTGCTTGCTCCTGCGAGCACCGTGGCCTCTTAGGGTTCTTCATTGTACCCCCCCGTACCCCCCCCCCCCCCACCACCGCTAACGCTTCTCTCGCTCACTGAATCCACCGGCCCTCATCGACTACAGAATCCCATTCCATTCGCCAAAGGTTCCGCCGGGATCTCTGAATAAGGTCGCAAAAAAATACGATGCGATCAATAGGTGGAAATGAAAAAGTCAATCTCGTTAGTCCTGGCTCGAACAGGTACTTTGCCCGGCATTGGCGTGACCTTGGTACGGGGTCAAAGGGGACCCCCGGTGACTGGACGGGGGCCAACGAGGACATGCATTGACACTCCGCTGTGCTAATGCTGTGCACGTGAAAGCCCACGAGTGTGCGAATTTCGACGGATTGTCGCGTGTGTACACAGCTAAGGATTACGTACAAGTGCGTTTATTCAGCGTGTGATCTCAATACACATTGTAAAAGTCATAGCTACGCAATCGGCTCCAGAGTTACCAAACACACTTCCCTCCCCATTCGTCCTCCCCATCCCATCAACCCATCCGTCCGCGTATTTATTTTCCACGAGCAGCGGCCAAGGGGGTTGCGTTGTTACGCGCGCGCGCGCCGAGAGATGGGGAATGTAACCCACCTTGGCGCACCACTCCCGTCGAAGGGACCTCCCTGCACGGCAGCACGCGCTCATCATGACCGCGAGGGAGCCCTCACCCCCCGACCCTCTCGGAGGAACGTCCTGCGGGGACACACGGGCGGTCGCAGCCTCACTCAGAACTTGCTTCCAGAGGTTACTCATTACACATTGCAATGCAATGCGCGCGCACACACACGCGCATATATGTGATGTGCACAGTGAAGACGGTCAGCGCACACGTAACCCAGGTCACCCCCTCGAGTTTCAATGGGTTCGTTTCATCTGCTGGTTAAATGAAGGTGACTGACATAAATCCACGAGCACGTTGCCTTTTCATAAGATTGGTTGTGAACTATAGTACCAGGAGATGAAACAAGTATCCCTGAAGACAACATTGAAACAAAGTCTGACTTATAAAGGTGTCCTGAGATATACAATACGTTTGACTTCAACTCATACAGCAAAAACAGAGCACGAATAACCACACACACACACGTACGGTTGTACTCTGCTGCCAACTCACGGTGCTTAGAGCATCTCCATCTCGCTCCCCGGCTCGCACGCGAGTCTCAGCAGGCGTGCCGCCCGCGTGATGTTTCCCTTCGGTGGTCACCCGGCCACCACCCACCGCCTCCTCCAACCCCCCCACCCCCCATCTGCCGCATGAGCCTCCTGAGTGGTGACCTGAAGTTATTGGGCGGCTGCTGCTGCCCTCCCCTCTACCTCCACTCGGAAGCATCCCACTGAGATTGGACGCTTGTGGAAATCTGGAATCCTCCCCAGCATGCCTCATTGCTCCCACGCTGTTGGCTAAGTGAAGGCATTGAATTGCTTGTCAAAAGCGTGCAGTTTCCTCCCCGCTGAATACATCACGTGTACAAAATATATATTTATTTTACTTAAGAAACACGGTTACAATATTTAACACACTGCATTCAATCTTTTGGAATTCTGTAAAGGCAGTGCGGTCTAATGGGTAAACTGCGGAACCAACTTGCACACATTCTGCGGAGACTTTGAGAAGCGCGGGTGGCATCCCTGTAACAATATTTTGGATAGGTGACGACACAGTTGCACAAACACGGACACAAGACCCTCGCCAGTTGGTCCCTTCCACGCGACTTCCTGTGGCGACAAAGCCAAGACACGTGTCACTCTCGTCAAACGCATGAAGAATGCTCGTCTTTTTTTTTACAATTTTTAAAGGCGCTCGTGTGAACGTGACTTCGCATTTCGCATTTGCCATTCGGCAGCGCTACACGGACGGCGCAGTCTCGTATCTAAGAGGCCAAGGCGTCTGCAAAGCGCACCCCCTTAACTCTTAAAAAGAGGACGTTTAATGTAAAAGCAAAACACGAAAAAAATGAATTGCTCGTTTGAAGTGTTATCTTGACTGGGCCACCACAGGTGTGAATCCTGGCATTAATGAGGTTGAAAGGCATTGCTGCGATGTAATTTGACACCAGGGTGCACATCGGGTTTCAAAAACACCTCCACAAATGAATTTCTGGCACCAAATAAAAGAGGCAAATGACTGTATGAATCTCACACGTTAAAATGCGATGCTCGGGAGTTTTGCACCGCATTCAAAATATAATGGGAACGGAGCTGTGAAGTGGATGGCATGGGGGCTTAGTCGCTTTACCATTATGTGAGGCTCAATTAAAGAAAGCCTCAAATATAGGCGTGCTTGGCTGGGTTTTCCCACAGCGTGAAGTTACAGCACCACACGCAACTCACGGCCACACCGTCCTCACAGGGCCCCGGCCGAGGCCTCAAAGCAAACGGCGCCGCTCGTCAGAGCCCCCAGCGCTGCCGCAACGCTTGCGGGCTCGCATGCTGCGAGCCTATTCCCCCCTGGGTTACTCATTGCTCTTTCACTTCTCGAGTGTCTGAGGGTGGTGTTGATGAGGCGGGGCTGTGCCAGGGGCTGTGCAGGCTCATGTGGGTGGGGGTGTGCAGGAATGGCAGATGTTTGCAAGACCCAAATCTTCGACTCAAAGTCTTTATCTGAAGTACCACCCAGGCCGCACTTTAGCCGAATCCATAGCTGGCTTAATTATTTATGAGGTTGGAACGGCGACACCAATAATGTGAAGAAAATAACAAGCCAGTAAACATGCAACGTTGAGCCAACATTGATTGGTGTGTGGTTTTGACCGTTGGCCCAACGTTCCACATTTCGTGGGAAGAAACCTGTCATGAGGGGAAGTCGGGAAAGGAGATGCTAACCTGCAAAAGTTGTTTAAACAGACAATGGAAGATTGCTTCTGAAAAATTAGATTGCAGAAAATGTACAATCTCGATTTTTTTTCCCAGATGGAATTGTTTATATGATAACCAGTGTAACATAATTACAGGAAATCATTCAATAACTTAATCGAAAAAGGGCTGCATTAAAAACAAAAAAACGTTAACTTATGACAAGTAAATGCGCTTGGGCAAGACACGTTGCTGGAAGGGGACGACAGCCAGGTGATGGAGTGGCGGCCAAAGGATGAAAGACTTTGCCGAGGTGCCCGCGGTAAAGAAGAAGCGACGCTGAGGGCAGCTCGCGCGCAGGAGCCACGCGTATTGCTTCGTCGCAAGACCGGTGGGGGGGGGGGGGAGACAACTTGGGGTCTTCAATCGGCAGCGGATAAATCATGGCCGGTGACGATCAATGATGATGGTCGCTTCACTGCGTGCGCCTATTTTAAATAAACCTGCAATGATTGCATCAATCCCCCGTTAACTTTTTGACAAAGGCTTAGCTGCAAATGTGCACTTTCCAAAGTGCCTTAGCAAGTCATGTCATCGGGACGATAATGGACGTTTCTGAAATACTTGCTCAATAAATGTATTCGTGAGAAAGACAGCACAGTGCAATCAGGGAAGGGAATTCGGCATGCACAAAGTAAGAATGGATCACAGAGTGAGAATGTATAGAAAATCTTTATTTTTACTGCAAAAACATTTTCGTCAAAACCAACTACCCTGTCTGAAAATCACGCTCACAGGGTCAATGAACGCTTGCGGTCGGTAATTGTGAACAATTACAGCTACTGCCAGTCACTGCTCACGCTGGAGTTTCTCACTGGGGCCGAGCGAATCCAAGTCGCTGGAGATATTCCCACCTTTGCTACTCGCATCCGCAAGATGACACAGTTGTCTGCGCGATCATGACACAACTTGCCGAAGCAACGCGCGCTGCACGCTGCGACGTTCGTCTTACCGCGCGTGGAATGCATTGTCCATGAAACATTAAGTGTGCATCTTACTGAGTGCGTAACTGCTAAAGCCAAGAAGGCATCGTCGGTGAGTGTGTGTGTTCAACTCCACCACACTCCAGCCTGGTGCAACACCACACAGCAGCAATTGTCATTTTGTCCGTGGTCATTCTAACTAACTAAATATACTCACTAGATTTCATTTTACCAGGTAAGGTCCACTGAGCTATAGAGTTATTTTTCAGAAGCGACCTGGCCACAACTGGAAGCTGAACAGAGCGGCTTATTACATGGGAATTTACAGCAGCCAAATACTCTAAACGCATGTTTCTAATAGTGGGGGGGGGGGGAAAGCAGTGGACCACGCGACCACGGGGAGAACATGCAAACTTCGAATATACAGGCGTCAGAGTCGGGATCGAATCCATGACCTTCTGTATACCAGGCGAGGTAGTAAACATCTCACCACCGTGGTGCCCAAACAACACACGTTCAAACCACACACACATGTGCGAGAAATGTAAAAAAAAAACCCCTACATTCTTGACAAGGATATTCAATTCATGCTAATTTTCAAATGTATTTGTTAAGTTTTTCAAATAAGCCTCGCTCATTAAAATATTCGTTGGCAATGGGATATAAGATACAGACACTGGGCAGGCAGAGTATGGGAGGGGTCGAGCCACTTTGCAAAAGCCCTGCGGTGGATCTGGTGCCCTCGGAGTGGCTCGCCGTGCTACGGCGCTACGCGAATCGTCGTTTTGCCACAAATCTCACTCTCACAATGTTTTGATCGCCTCCTTTGCTTGCCTCGTAAAAAGCACAGGTTTAAACGATCCTATTTACTCCAAACATAACAATCGGCGAAAATGCAGATGTAGCCTTACATAAGAGGATGAGTCTGAAATAAATATAAATAAATAGGGAACCCAAAAGGCGCCGCTCTTTGTCCAGCTGTGGCCGCAAGTCACCAGCACCGCTTGAGCATGCCGGGTGCCTCGCTCTCAGCGGGGGTCACGTCGCTCTCCCTGACGGTCGCCGGCGGCTCGCACGCCAAGTCCCTGATCATCGCTTCCAGTTCCTTTCTCGCTTTCTTCTTTTTCTTCTTCACTTTGCTCAGTTTCTGGGCTGGAGAGCTCGCTGCAGGGAGGTCGCCACCGGGTTGATGAGGAGCTTTGCCAACATACGCCGCCGGCGGGGGAGACTGGTGCTCCTGGTCGCGCGCCAAGTTTCTGGGCTCTTCCCCGGAGAAACAGTCGCTGAAGGACTCCGCTTGGGACGCGTGCGAGTGAACCATCACATCCACGGAGCTGACGTTTTGCGGGGCGACCAACAGCAACCCACCGCCGGGAGCCTGCTCCTCTGCGGGATCGCTAAGGAAGTCCACGCAATCCTCCAGGAACGAGGGATCGTCGAAGGTAGGAATGAGTGTGGCGTGAGACCTCTTCAACTTGCGCGGCTTGTTCTGGTGCGCCACGACGGGCCTCCGCTGACGCTCCTTTGCCGGGGCTTCTGGAGATCTTGACGATGCGGTCTTCTCACCAAGTCTCCCACCAGGGAGCAGAGGCGAAGCAGCCACATTAGCACTCGTCGTTGCAACGGCACCATTTTGGGCAGAGACGCCGTGTTTTTGTTTTGAGCCTGCCGCTGCCGGCTCTGCATGACTTTGTCCTTCAAGTCGACTCCACTGTGAGTCCTCCGCAGAGAGATTTGACACAGCCGGGCTGACCTCCGGAGAATGGAGAGGGTGCCGCGCCTGGCTGGTGTCAGAGTGTGCGAGACTGGAGGTGCTGCCACTGTGAAGGCCTCGGGAAATACTTTGCGTGAGCTCGAGTTGATCGTTGGAGCAGGGGCTGTCCGCATGGCCCATAGGCTCCTCACCTAGCGCGCTCTCCTCACACAGCTGCAGCCTCTCGATGATCTCCAGCTCGAGCTGAGCCCTGGGCGGAAACAGAAGCCACAGCCACGTTACCACGCAGTGCGCCGACCTTGAGACGCTAACACCATCGTGAGTCAGATTAGAGGTGACGTAATTTTGTTCAACCACACCGGGAGAGGGAAAGAGAAACACAATTGTCATATAACAAACACAAATTAGACACAATATTTACAATGACGATAGGCCAAAGGGCTTGGGCAGGACACAGCGTCAGATGAGATTATGGCCGATGGACAAGACTGGCGACGAAACGCATCTAAGAGGGCGAACGCTGCAGACATGGAGCAATGGGATCAGTTGACGTGCAGGAGAGTGACATGGATGGGAGCAGGAATGGACCGTGATGGACGGTGGCGGTATGGAGTGGCTTTCACCCAGCAGTGGATTGACAACAACCGATGGCGATACTTAACAAAGATCGCGGAAGAGCAGCCAGCTCCTCGTCATCACCCGGGGATCAGCGTGGTGAAGTATGAAGGGTAAGTTTCAGCATCGCGATGAAGGACGACATTTCCGCGGGGCTGGGGCCGGCGGCCGTACCTGAGAACGTGCTCCTTGTGCAGGAAGTCGGCGTCCCTCTCGCCGTGACGCCACTGCTGCAGCAGATCCCCAAGCTGCGGACAGTCGCGCTCCAGGCCCTGCTCCAGCTCCCGCTCCAGATCCAGCGCCGCCAGCTGGTAAACACGAATGGCATGCGGCGTTCGTCGCTTGCCGAGTGAATGCGCCAAGCGGCCACGGCAATGCACCGGGGCAGCCCCGGTGTGCGTACGTGCACAGCAGGTTTGTCAATCCACTGCTGGATGAGGGCCACCCCATGCCATGCAGGGCATGTGCTTTATTTGACCATATTTCACCACGTTCATGCATGCAGGTTAGTGAAGGCAGGACTTGTAGACGCGGGTACATAGCAGTACAGGTTAAATGTCTCTGCTTTTACATTAACAGGTTAAATGTCTTTACATTAACAGGTTAAATGTCTTTACATTAACAGGTTAAATGTCTTCACATTAACAGGTTAAATGTCTCACTAACACAGCCACCGTTGCTCGTTTTCCTCGTCGTGGAGGTAGCTCTCCGATCTTACATTGACATGCAAATTTCTCACATTAACATAACTAGCCCCGCCCACTTCGCTTATGACCCTTGGGCTACACCCATTTCAAACCTTTAAAACAGTCTGCCTCAGCAGCTTTCCCGCTATTTTTTCCCCTGATGACGATTGCTTGCGCTGCGATCGAAACGTCGGAGTTTTTTGTTTGTTTGTTATTTGTTTGTTATTTTCTTTGAACCTATCTACGCGACTTCACCGAAAGACCCAAGAATAAAGGTACAGTACACTACAACAAAAGTGGATTATGCTGCCCTGACTTCTACCGCACATCCAAATAACTCGGCAGTCGAGAACAATTTTACGTGCATGGTGTCCGCCTGTTAAAGGCTCTAACCTGCTGAGCTTCGCGTTTGACATCAGATGGAGATCAGACTCATAGGTGCACATAGGAGAAAAATTACATCTTTAGATGCCACTCACTTATTTCAATTGCACGGCGCCCTGAGATTTTTTTGTGAAAGGCGCCTTACAAGTACAGATAACTATTATTCCAGGTAATTATATGGGGCCCACTTGTTGTGTACGTTATAAAATGTACCACAATTATGCGGGGGCGTAACGATCCTTGTGCTCATGCCGCTTTGCGTTGAATGGTGTGAGTAATAATGAATTACTTTACTTTCGTGCATGTTATATGTATTGGTGTTCGCGCGACGCCTGCAGCCACTGGAGGCTGCTACACTCACCACAATATAAATGAAAAAAAAACATTGAATTGACTCACGACCCTGCATTACGACAAATCATCAAAGTTGAGGGGGGTAGAACTGCTCTAGCCGTGCCTTCCGATTTTAACCGGCCTTGGTGGATGTTCACGGCTCTCTAACCGAAGCACGGCTCATGATAACTGATATTTTCAGCGAGCAATACTCCACTTCGGCTTCAAAGAACACAACCGCGAGCTTCGGCGCTGCAACAATGGCGTGAATATGATGGATGGCTCTCAAGGGAAACTCATACCATGAGACATCACACATCCCCGCAGAGTGTTTTCATTTTTCACGAAGCCAGAAAGGGAAGGGAAGCAGACGTATCACGTGTACATTAATATCGGTACGCCTTCACCATTGACCACCACTCGCCTGTTGAGACCAGAGGCTATCCAACTTAGTTACCGCCCAACGCCTTGATATCCGAACACGAGATACGACTCATAACGCCCCCGCCAAGCCCCGCTCGACGCTTCCCAATTCCGGTGGTTTATGTGAAGGGCGCGTGTGCGGTCAAGTGGCTGAGCGCAGCACCTGTGCGCATTTGTTGAACTGCCAACGCAGTGGCGTGTGGAACGTTTGTGATCCAAGGTGCCCCGGAGTGGATTTGATTTATTGGGCTTGTGATTATTTCTGACAGCCATGTAACTCTGTTGAATTCGATACGTTTTGGTTGCATCGCCCCGCTCTCCACTCACTTGCTTACACATGCATACACTTGCTGGTAACGTACAACAAGCATTACTTGGCAGTAATTTTATAATCATAAACAGCACTTTGGCAATGCACTGCTGGATGAAGGTTTCCCCACACAATGCCAGTCATGACAAGTTGTTTTGACCATACTACAGCCCGGCGACTTGAGTTCAATTCTCCAACGGCTAAGATCAGTGGCCCCCCCTTCACAAACGCGCGCTGACCAGCCTGGTGAAGTATGGTCAAACGTTACGTCAGTGTACATCTATTGGGTTTATAGGTTTCTACATTCATAAATGTACCAAAGACAGCTACACCTCATGCGTAAAATAAAAAGCTGGAACTCACTCTAAAGGAAATGGTAGGGGCACTTCATAATTAATTCAATCTGCGTTAGTTAACTTTGTTTTCCCAGGTGAGTACTCGAGAGACAAGGATGAAATCCCGTTTGAATCTGAATCCGATCCTGATAAGGATTCTGATTCACCGAGGCGACTAAAACCGCTCACGTAAACACAAGAACAACGGCGAAGCACAGAGCAACGACAGCGGAGGCAACCAAAGAGAAAGCGGTGCACAAACATCCGCTGTGCAGACGAAATGGACACGGTGTACGACTTGGCCAAGCACAGGCACCCCCTCGATTTACAAAAGGAATGCGTTCTTCAAAAAACACACGCGTAAAGCGAAAGTTCTTAAATCGGAATGGCTTTTCCCGTTCATTTCATACTAAAAATTAGTCATTCCAACTTTACTCCAAACCTAAAAATATAATACACCTATACCACTTTTCACGATACAAAACATAATAATAAAGCACATAGATATTAAAACGATTTAATCATTAGAATTAATTTCAGACAAAAATTATTCACTTTTTCATGATAAGTCACCAAAAGATCTACATGTTGGAATAACTCGGAAAGGCGATGTGGAGGCATTACTTTTGCACTGTAGGGATGCCGTGACGCTGCAGCGGATGGATGGTGCAGCCTCCCGGGTGCTTCTCGTTTGATGATCTTATGGTGTGTGCCGTGTGACATTCGTTCACATGCAAATTCAATTGTGTTAATGGAAAAATGGCCATCATTTGTCAATTGCGTGAATGTGAAATTTCGTAAACCTGCATTACATTTCCTGGAATGAAAGTTGAATCACACAATGTAGGTTTAAGAACCAGTCAGAGTGAAATTAACTTACCGAATCATCAACACGGATTCAGGGTGAATATTTCACGAGTGTGTAAGCAGACAGGGGAAGTGTGCGTGAGCTGCCCCCCATGCCGGCGCTGGGACGCGGTGCACCCTGGGTAAACCTGAGAGCCGTGAGCGCAGGAGCCCTCGGAGGCCGAGTTGTAGGCGTTGTCCTCGTCCAGGTAGTTGGAAGGCTTCGGCTGCAGCGAGTGGTGGAGGCTGTTTGTGAGCGCGTTCATGCGGAACAGCAGCTCGTCCACCTGGCCCTCAAACTCCTCCAGCATGAGGCCCTACACGGGCACACATGCACACGCACGCAAAAAAAAACAAAGATAAATATCCCGCACATAGCCTTAACAGACTGTTGGGGCAAGTGCTGTTAGCGAGCAACTTTGAAGGCTGGCATGGCATACGAGGGGGTGGGTGGCCAACACCACGCCCGGCCGCCTTTGTCTCCCAAGTGGCGATGTTTACACACCACACCAGGTACTCATTTGAGGCTGAGTCTACGTAGGGGAGGCCCAGGACTGGTTAAGATAATTGTCACTGGTGTTGGCCGTGAGCGGGAATCGAACCTGGGTTGCCAGGTTCGTAGCAGAGCAGCACGCTAACCGCTACACTACCGCTCCCCCACAACACACGCAAACACACACACACACATGCAAGCACACACACGCGAGCACACGCACGCGCACAGGATGAGACCGCACGGTTACTCCACTTACGCGCAGGGGTTGAATATAACGTCAAAAACAACGAAGAACAACAGTGGCTATCATTTGCCACCAGGTGGTGGTGATGCCATCATGGCGCTTGTTCCAGGGTAGGTGCACTGTGAGGCAATGTGAAGTGAAAGGCTCATTAGCAGAAGGGTCATGGGACAAGCCCAGGTGTCATGGTGTAATGGACCAAGATGACTAGCACGTGCACCACCTGTGCTGCCCGCTGTGCCAACTTGCTGCGTTGAAGCCACCTGGCGCTCTGTCCATGTACCGAGTGAGCATTGCTGCTTCAACCACATCAAAGGCAAAGATTTCCCGCGTAGCCTATGTCGAGAGTTGTTTCCTGCAAGTACTTTTTGTGAGCACCTATTGAGGCCGGTACAGCACACGACGGGGTGGTGTGGCTAGAATCAGACCTGGCCACCTTTGTCTTCCCAGGGCTGATGCTTACACACTTGCACCAGATGCTTATTTATGGCTGTGGACCAATTCAGATTATGTCACCGATGATGGCCAAGGCCGTCAATCGAACTCAGGCCACCGCAATTCATAGCGGAGCATGCGCCACCTCTCCAACCATTTATAAAAAAAATACGCACACGCAAGAACGCGACACGGACACGTGCACCGGAGTGACAGGGGGCATCACAGAGACACTCAGCAGGATGCGAGCCCCACCGGCGGAACGGGCGGCTCGTGATCCTGCAATGGAGCCCTTCGACCCAGCAGCACGGCGAGCTCACGCAGCAAGAACCCGGCCACGTCGCGTGGCCACACCACGTGCCTCCTCCGCAGGGCTGCGCGGCGAGCTCGTCGCATGACGGCTCGCAGGACGCTGTAGAGCTGCACGCGACGTGGCCACGGGGAGAGTCACAGGGTGAGATACAGCTTCCAGCTCTGGAAGTTTAACTACCCGTCATCAATGGGCCATGGTCAATCCACGGCCTCCCAAAGGCGTCGCTATCTCTCGCGGTACTGCGACGTAGAAATCTACCCAGCACCTGCACGTGAGCAACGTAGCGACCTGCACATGAGCTCATTTCATCTCTGTATTTCTGAGCTCTCCATGTCAGTGTTTTCACCAACCTGTACTTTACGACGTGATGCGAGTGATGCATTGCACTGAACTGCAATCGCTATTAGGTGCACATCGACTCTCGTGGAGACCCGTTGTCTCACGCAGAGACCCATACCATGCAATGTAACGGGATGTGAGTAACGGCTTTCATTTCACCGCAGTCACAATAAGACGACTTCTTAATTCCCCACTCACGCGGTGGTTAAGCGCCTGAGTAAATCAGCCGAGCGAATGATGGCTGCGCGGTGAGTGTGGGGCGTCTCTCACAACGGCGATCCAGAGGAGACCCCCGGCGAGGAGGAACGTGACGTAGAACGCGGCGGCTCCCTCGGAGCGGGAGAGGGCCGAGACGTGGCGCGTGCCGCTGGCGCCCAGCGGGGTCAGCAGAAGTGTTTCCCAGGCCGACAGCAGATCCACGTAGGCGTGCGTCAACCTCCCGAAGCACACGTAGCCCAGGCTGGAGAAGGCCAGTAGAAGCAGTGCCAGGCACAGCTGGAACGAACACAGCGACGTGGTCTCTGTGATGCGGGCTAACCCAGACAACTTGAAGGCTCGTATTTGATAGAGTCGCCCTCCTTTATATCAGGGCGTCTCAGACAGCTTTGCGCTCAATATGGAACTTGCATCGCATGTCACCCCGACACATTTCAAAGGGCAAACCCGTTGGCAGCAGTCCCTGTGTGGCGCAAGGTGCCTCGGCACTTGGCCTGCAAGTGGCCATTGGTCTGCCAGCAGGGGGCGATGATTGCCCACGCATGATCCCAATGAACTTCTGTACATCACTGGACCTCCCTTGCCAATATCAAAATATAAGAATAGGTTTTACCCTTTCTGGCAATAAAACAGGCGTTAAGATGTTAAAACACCAAACTGAAACCTTTTGCAAAGAATTATGCCTGCATTAACCACATATACCTGTGGTGAACATGCACGTCTGCACATTGGTTCAGCCTAAATGTCGCGGGTGCAGTCTTGCAGTGCAGTCTTGCAGCGCAGTGCTCATGTGAGAAGAGGCGCTCACCACGAGCGGGGGGAGGTGTGTGCGCCCGAAGTTCAGGGGTGACAGACACACGGCCATGGGGCCCAAGCAGCGCAGCGCGTGCAGCGTCCGCACCAGCAGCAGGAAGAGCACCACCGCCGAGAGCCAGCGAGACGTCTGCGGGAGCACGGGGAGACCCCACGATGAGTTAAGGGTCACGATGGACTCCACTGGTCATGTGTTCACCGTGCGAGCATAGATGGCGACTTGCACGCAATTAACATCGACCTCTGGCAATGGAAGAAAAGCAAATGGTGCAGCAACGACCGCCGTTGAAAGCTGCCCTGATGCATTATGGTCTAAGGAGAGCGCCCAGGTAAGGCAGGGTGATACCACAGGTGTGCTCCGCTAGTAATGGCGCAGGTCACGCTTCTCACGTTGCCTGCTGTTTCATTCATTATGTGCAGAGAGTCTGCCCATTTATATTGTTCTAAACTCTACAATTTGGATTTAAATAGCATCTCAATGCAACTGCATTTCAAGACACTAACAATACATAGTACGACAACAGTTATACTGATACGAGGACAATAGCGTTGCAGACATTACTAACTTATGCCATTCCTGTTAGCATAAATCTACCCAAACCCCGTTTGTAATATGACTCCACTGACAGTGCACGCTTGGCTTGTCACGGTTGCATATACGCAGGAGACATTCGCGGCTGTCAAATTAATCCCCGATGATGATGCGCTAGAAAGATGAGCGCCTGATGAATAAAACACAGAACCTGATCCCACGTGGCCAGAGGGCCCACGTCCAGCGTTGCCTCCAGGAAGGTCACCTCCAGGTACTCGATCAGCGTCATTGCCACCACGAAGCGGTTCACGTAAACCGCAAAGTGGGCGAGCGCCACCACCACCATGCCGGCCTGTGACCCACAGCAGAGCGTGGCGCGCGCGGTGAGGCGCCGCTCCAGACATGAGACGGCCCACAGCTCACAGGAGGGAAGGCTAGGAATGGTCCGCAGTAACAACGAGCGGGTGATGTGAAGCTAAGAAGTTAAGGAGGGCTTCAGCCTGGACAGTGCTTTGATGGGTGGTCACCATGCACGGCACGTTGTTGTAGGCTGCTGTGGGTATACTCTGTCGGCAGCAGAGAGCGGTGCGGCAAAATCTATGATTGTACTGTAATTATATGCTCCCGTATCTCTGCACTCCACCTTCAACAACCCGCACTTACCAGCGTGGTGATGTACGGTCGAATAACCCCCACAATCCACATGGTGTGTAAAGACCCCCCCCCCCCCCAAATCCAGCGGTGGATTAACAAGGGATACATTTAGGTTAAAAGGAGGGCAAAACATTTCGCCGTAAAGATTCAAACAAATCTACTGAGAGTCGAAATCACGGAGCTTCACTGACCTCCAGCCAGTTCCAGGGCTCGCAGCAGTGAGCCACGAGCCCACGGTCGCTCAGGCGGCACAGCTGCAGGTACAGCTGGAACAGGATGAGTACCAGGAACAGCAACTGCAAAGCGCGAGGCACAGGCGTCATCGCGCGCACACTCCTGGCCCATCTCGCAGCGCTGTTGCACAGGGGCACTCTTTGCCGCGCGAGCCATCGCGTTCATAAAGACATAACAATTAGTGGGCACGAGTATTGTAGTGGTTCGCAGCCCATTTGCGTGCGAACTTCGCGAGGACAAATGCGCGATTGTCCGGGTGGCGGAGTACCTCGCAGGTCATGGTGGCGTAGTTGAGCGGTGTGCCGAGCTTGTAGAGGCGAGCAGACCGTACGCCGATGCTAGGCCGCTCCCCTGGCAACGAGGGCACGCGCGCCAGCAGCGCTACGCTGACGAACAGCTGGGACGGCGGGCTGTAGAGTGCCAACTCCACCAGGACAGAGGCCCGAGAGGCCTGGTCCAGCCAGCCGGCCGCCCGCAGCCCGCTCAGCACCCCCAACGCCTCAGCACTGCGCGCAAAAAACAAACCGCGGGATTTGACTACGGGTGTCGTGATGGTTGAGCTCGCCGGCCGAGCCGGGCACGAAAGGACTTTCACAAACGATGAGCGGATCTCAACTCAAGGAAGGCAAACCTAATGTGACATTTGAAATTGGGACACATGTCAGTGATCGTTGTTGCAGCTCATGTTTGTACAGTACAGGTACAGTATGGTGGCATCCCGTCAGAGTTACCGAGTGCTGCCGAGGCTGATGGCTGCGGATGGGGACAGCTCCGCACAGCCCTGGACAAAAAAAAACAAATCGAACAAGACGTTCACTGGACCCGTCGAAAATAAACCCAAAGCCGTCGTCTATCAGCCTCAGCAAAGCCCGCACGGTCTGCACAGCCCGGTTCTGCTGTGTCACAGATGCTGAAAAATGCTTTTTTAATTTGTTCTCAATAAGTTTCCAAAGATGCCGACGCAGGGTTCGCGAGTCTCACCGTGCAGTTCGAGCCGTCGATGTCCAGGCGCCTCACCGAGGGCTGGCCTACGAGGTGATAGTTCCCCTGCAGCGGCCCCACCTGCACAGGGGACACGCAGAGAGCCGCACGACGAGCTGGAGAAAGTGCCGGCCACCGCCTTCCTGCGCTCTTGACACCATGCAGCTCAGCCTCTGTTATCCGTGCGCGGATTTTCGAAGTCGCTGAAAATCCGCGCTAGTTTGACTCGCACGCTGGTTTAATCATCATCTGCTCCTCACTTATCACAGCGCATGCGCTTCAGAAAGTAAACTGCTTGCTTAACAATAAAGCTCATATATTATGTTTTCACAACAAATCTACGCATGGAAACAATCAAAAGCTTTCCTAGCCTAATTAATATACATATTTTTTTACATTCTCTTTGCGGCACGATAGAAATGCAAATTGGGTTTGTTTATATAAGGTCACCAGTTGCTGTGGGTTTTGGGGCAGTAGGTGGCTAAATGGAGGCCTGGTGCAGACCTGCTCGGTGAGATTTGCACTTCGTTGCGTTTTACAGATATTCAAAATAAATGTGTTGCCGTCCAACTGGAGCCCCTCATCTCCTCGTTTAAAAAGGGCAACAGACGCATTTTAGTTCTATCTGGGTCATCTCTCATGCCCTCCCGTTACCCCTAGATGATCAGGAGTTGACTGTCACCGGTTAGTACGGCACCGACCAACAACCACGTCAAACGCAGCTGCGGCTAGATTTGGCCTCTGTCACATCGCTCTGCGCTGCCCGCCACCGCGTGCGGCGTTGCGTCCCTGCGGAGCGTTAATGGCGGAGCACGACGCCTCGTGGGGGGAGATGTTGCCGCGGCCGGGATGTGGTCGAGTGTGGGGTTGGTGGTGGGGGGGGGGAGGGCCTTGCGCCCGGGGCAAACCTCCCGGCTCCCCGCGGGCGGTGGCGCTTCGCCGCCGTTGGTGCCGCCCGCCGCATACAGCGAGTCCACCATGGCCGCCTCACTCCAGCGCCACCACTCATCAGCCGTGCGCACGCCCAGGAACGAGGTCTCAGCACTCCTGAAGGGAAAGGCCGTGGAGGAGGCCGGCTCAGAGAAAGCACCTCCTCCACCCAGGACGCCTCTGCGTCCCGGGGTACACTTAATCCCCGCAGGGTTTATAAGAGGCTACCGATAAACACCAACGTGGCACCGTATATTGCCGATATACATACCAAATACATACCCAGTCTATTCATAGCCATACACATTCATGCTGCTGCATCTACGAGTAACTTACGGTCATCTATATATACTTTGGGGGTAGTGGTTTCGCAGTGAGTTGACCGCCGCACTATAAACACGGTCACCTGAATTAAATTTTCGGGCCCGGGGCTAACGTCAGTGGCGAGTGATATCAAAACAAGTCCTGAGTCTCGTTTTCACCAACCCACAATACCCAGCACGGGGAAGTATGGTCAAAAATCCCCCATCGTGTGGGGAGGCCTTCATCCAGCAGTGAAATACATTAATTATAATCTATGCACAAGTGTGCATATGATACACAGGCTTGTGCTAATGGTAATTAATTATACCATTGGAGTGTATTTTGCATCCCAAGGTTACATTTTGTATTAACAACTATTTTACCCTAACCGACGCATCATGATGCATTCTGTAATTCACATTTTAAGTTTTTAGGGGAAAAAATTACACTTTAATGCACAGATAAAAATCTCCGTGTTGGACAATGGTGAGTTCCCCAACATAATGCAGACTTTTTTATTCATACCTGGTCTCGTCATAAACAACATCAGATTCTAGGCCCTAATGCAGCCACACATTAACGTTGCTCGAATACAAATACATTATTATTTTAATTTATGCTGAGCTACTTCTCGTACTTCTTAATTAAAACCCCGGAGACTGCCTTTGAGTTACATCAGAGCTAAGGTAGCCGAATCTCCGACATAATCAATGGAGTAACATTTCACAACCAAACTTGCAAAAGCAATTGAGCCCCTATGGGCCTTATTTCCAGCCATCACATCTCGGCAATCACAATTCCTTCATGGCTCTAGCGGTTCCCAAGAAGCCCTTGGAATCAATGTGAATGGGAAGAAAGTGGCGGGCACGGGCGGGGGGGGGGGGGGGGGCACCTGTTGAAGTGGCCGCGGATGGCTCGCTGCAGGTAGAACTCGTCGGTGGAGAACTCGGCAAACGTCGCGAATGCCAGGAGCGAGAGCATGAGGACGTAGAGGCAGCAGCTCCTGGGAACGAGCGCAAACACGGCCACATTGAGGAGGCTTGCTCCGTCACAATGATGTCCGTTCGCCCTCCCCACGGATATGGTCACTGCTGGCATTGCCGCAGCTGCAACGCACGCCGGCGAAGCAGGAAACACTCCCGGGCCGGTTGCAGAGTATGGTAATAAGCCGGAACAAACCCGTGATCTCAGATGATAGGTCGGTTGGGAGCCTGGTTGGTATTTGGATGACCAGAAGAAGGCAGTGCAGCATTTCATCCTTGAATCTGTCTCATGAAGACCTTTCAGTCTTATTCCTTGACACGCGTGAGTATCACTCCGAGTACTCCAGCTTCCTCACACGTGAAACCCGCTTGTTTCATGCAATTAGGCAAAGATCCCAAGAATGGTGCTTCGCAAAAAAAAAAGGCGGCTTGGGCCTTGCTTTTTTTTTCTTTCTTTTAAATGCACTTGCCAAAATTGTAAAGATGCCAGCAACAAACAGCGCTATCAAAGTTGAAATAGGAAGGAAGCAACACGTTCGTTCAATGGAGCAATATTATAAGAGCTAGGGTGGGGATTTCCTGGGCAAATGAAGGGCATGAGTAGTATTCGACCGGAGTTCCCTCCCTCGGTGTCGTTGTGCCCAGCTAGCCAAGTGGTGATGGAGCGTGCCTGAGAGGACATCCACCGCAGAGATGGGAGCAATCAAATCAGGTGGTGCGTGCGCGCGTGCCAGGTGGATTATTAATACATTGCGGGTCCGTGGGAAGCGACGGCAGCTTAGGGGTGGGGGGGGAGGGGCTTCATTCAGCTGCGGGTTGATCATGCCTGCTACTGCTGCTGATGATGATGCTGACGACGATGATGATGTTGATGATGATGCTGATCGGGGATGCAAATTGTCGTGAGTGTGGAGGGGGCGGGCGCTCACCGGAGCGAGCGCACCACGAGGCGGCGCAGGCGCAGGCGCTCGCGGCACCGCTTGAGCTGCTCGCGGCTTGGGGGTCGCGCCAGGCGGAGGTGGCGCGCGCGCCGTCGGGCCGCCAGGCTCTAGCGCGCCCACCGCGGGCCGCGGGGGGAGAGGGGGCGAGGGTGGGAACAGGGAGGTAGTGCAGCCCGGGGTGACGCACGTAAGGATGAGGACGTGGATCCCCCAGTATAGCCTTAACAGACTGTTGGGGCAAGTGCCGTTAGCAAAGTAGCACCTGTGAAGGCTGGAACGGCACACGAGGGGGTGGGTTGCTAGCACCACGCCCCGCCGCATTTGTCTCCCTCGTGGCTACGTCTTTACACACACAAGCGTGAGTTCATCTGGCTACCCAAACTGCTCTGTTTCCTTTCTCTTCTCCTCCCCCCCCCCCCCCCATTTTCCTTTGAGGAATCACCTGCGTCACTTCTCCAGCTGTGGAGATGATCTGCATAAGCCACCTTCCTTCTTACGAGATTTCCCGGTAAATCAAGAACGATTTGTCTGAAATTTTAGGAGAAACCGTGGTGCCTCAACTTTGCAACAGCCACCCGCCTATGGTTGGTTGCTTACCTTGGAGATGTCCGTGAAGTCCTGCGGGTTGCCCTGTGAGTGAGAAGCAGCGCGGCCCATGAGCTTGGTCCTCCAGGTGTCGACGGGACAGGCGGCGTCCAGGCACTGAGCCTGCAGGCACTGGGCGTCTCTCCGCCACCAAACCGTCACGGAAAGCGCCGCCAACACCAACTACAGAACCCGCGAGAAAAGAGTGGTTTCCCGGAAAGCCGTGATAGAGATGTAGACGCTCGCGAACACCGAGGCCTGCGTGATGGGGGGCAGTGGTCGCTTACAACCGCCGGCTGAATGATGAAGAAGCAGACGATGAGGGAAAAGAAGAACGAGTGCATCCATGCCATGCACTTGGAGCGGCTGAACCTGCAGGGGACATCACGCACGCTGTCAGAGCTCTCCGTTCGCGATGCTCGGCAAGCGCGCGGGGACTTCTCGACAACCACAAATTCAATCAATAGAGAGAGACTAACACTGAAACATCATCAGCAGGTACTGACAAATATAAACAGACAGGCACCAAAATAAAAAAAAAACGTGACCCACGCACAATCCAGCAAGAGATCAGTGGGAATAGGATTTTGGGGGGTGAGGGGCGGAGACGTCTGACCGAGCTTCACCTGAACCCCAGGACGGCGGTGGCAGCGGCCGAGGCCAGGCCGAGCAGGATGCAGAGCATCCAGGCGAGGTAACAGCAGCGCGACGGCAGCCGCACCCGGGCCCCGACGCCGCGACCTCGCCCGTACAGGCTGCTGCCATCTGGGGGTCGGCGAGAGGCACGGGGGTCCGGTGAATCGTCGCCATTTACGCAGCCCGCTGCTTCGGCGGTGGACCAAATGGAGGCCGAACGCGGCGAATGGCGAACGCACACCAGGGCAGAGGGAAAGGCAACCGCACCGGAGAAATCAGAGTGCAAGTCCGAGGAGCTCTCCCCGGGGCACGGCCGCCTCCCCCCCGAGGGCTTCCCCTGCTCCTGGGAGCTGCCGTCCTCAAAGCCGCTCGAGTCTCCCTCCGAGGGGCAGCGCGGGGCGACGCTCCCCAGCACCGGCTCCGCGCCCTGCCCTTGGCTCCCGTTGCCGGGGAGACCCCGGCTCTGCCGCACCCCGGCGGGCCTCTGCTCGGGAGCCCCGACTGTTTCTTGGAGGCGCCCGGCCGCCAGATCCGTGGCGGCGGGCACGGGGCTCGGCCTCTTGGCACCGGTCACGCTCGCGAGGTCCGAGTCCCCGAACTCGCTGAGCCCGTCCTCCACGGAAGACTGCAACCACACACGGGCCCCCCCAGTAACGCATCCGGAGATGGTAAAATGAGCAATGATTTGGTCGAGCTAGGACCGGCACGAATAATCATTTATCGATGGGACGACGCGATTGTGGGCGAGGGAGAAGCGATGCGTGTTTTCCGGTGCTCGTGACGAGGGAGGTGTTTCACAAGGAGAACCTCGTGCTTCTTCCTCCACGCCTCCTGGGCCCACTGCTGCAGGCTCTGCCACGACAAGTAGGAATCGGCGCCGCTGTCTCCAGCCGTGAGGCCCGGACTGCCCCCGGCTGCATTACGCGCACACGCGCGGTCATCACACGGTCATCACACGGTCACCACACGCACGTCATCACACGCACGGTCATCACACGGTCACCACACGTACGGTCATCACACGCACGCACGCACACAGTCATCACACACGATCATCACACGCGCGGTCATCACACGGTCATCACACGGTCATCACACGGTCATCACACGCACGTCATCACTCGCACGCACACACGCAGTCATCACACACGGTCATCACACGCACGCAGTCATCACACACGGTCACCACACACACGGTCATCACACGGTCACCACACGCACGGTCATCACACGCATGCACGCACACAGTCATCACACACGGTCATCACACGCGCGGTCATCACACGGTCACCACACGCACGGTCATCACACGCACGTCATCACTCGCACGCACGCACGCACGCACGCGGTCACCACACACGGTCATCACACGCACAGTCATCACACGCACGGTCATCACACACACGCACGCAGTCATCACACACGGTCATCACACACGGTCATCACACACACGGTCATCACACGGTCACCACACACACGGTCACCACACACACGGTCATCACACGCACGTCATCACTCGCATGCACGCACGCAGTTATCACACGCACGGTCATCACACGCACGGTCATCACACGCACGCACGCGAGGTCCTCACACGCACACGCACGCGGTCATCACATTAACACACTGAGCGTGAAATGTGTGACGATCGACCTCCCCCAGAGTTCCCATGAATCGTCATAATCCACAGTCAGAAGTAAACGTAAACGTCTGTATTCCATTGTTTCCTTTTGACCACGTCATTCGTATTCTCAGTTATTCCGATTTTTACCAAGATGATGTTTGCCCAATTATCCTATACGTTACATCAGTGTAACATTAGCAAAGCATTTGCATGCAGAGCAATTAAACCATCCTCCCCACAGAACTCAATGCATGCATCGTGAGTGTAAGGATCGATGCAATGCTCGCTCACAATCGGAATATACACAGCGATCGTTTCACTCAAAGTAAATTATTTTTATTTTACCAGGTAAGGCCCAATGAGCTATGTAGTTATTTTTCAGAAGCGACCTGGTCACAAATGATAGCTCAACGAAGTGGCTTGTCACGTGGAAATTTATAGCAGCCAAATACTCGAAACGCATGTTTGTAAATGTGGAGGGAAAATGTGGAGGACCCGGAGAAAAATCCCTGCGACCACGGAGAGAACATGCAAACTCCAAATATACAGCAGGCATTAGGGTCGGGATTTAACACACGACCTCCTGTATACCAGGCGACGTAGTTAACATCTTGCCACCGTGGCGCTGCGCGCCCTACTGCAAATATGTGGCAGGACCCTCCTGAAAAATAGTCGTGAGACTCAGCGAGGCTCTTCCGGGTAGAAGAGCTTAGCAACAAACAAGCCGACTGAGCACTGGGTGAGGAGTACACAGAGTGAGGGTGCCGCTGCTGTGGTGCGAGCCGGAACGGCGGTCGTGCCAGTGGAGGGACTCCCACCCCCCCCAAGTACCGGCGTGCGTCTCCTGCAGCTGTTTGAGCTTGTACTGCTCCAGGATGGAGTGAGCGCAGCCCCTGTCAACCTGCACCGACGGCACGCGACACAGCAACACACAACACAAGTCTACAGCAACACAGCCTACAGTAACACAGTCTACAGTAACACAGTCTACAGTAACACAGCCTACAGTAACACAGTCTACAGTAACACAGCCTACAGTAACACAGTCTACAGCAACACAGCCTACAGTAACACAGTCTACAGTAACAGCCTACAGTAACACAGTCTACAGTAACAGCCTACAGTAACAGTCTACAGTAACACAGCCTACAGTAACACAGCCTACGGTAACTCATCAAGGCAGCAACTCAGTCGACTGGAACTCAAATTAATGAATTGGAAAACTACATTAACAGAGTCCCAGACAACATGTGATGAATTTTAAGCATGAATTGCTCATCTCGTATTTACCCTTCACTGTAAGGGTTTCACTATTAGTTAAATTAATTACGCTCACATTGCAGCCATCAAATAATGTGTGAAAATATACGGTATGTATTATTTATGCAAGTTATTTAAAAATGAAATGCTAATGCGACATTCGGGCTAACTTAGAAAACAAAACTGTACAAAAGAGACCAAAATTAAATTGATTTAAAAAAATAGGACTTGGAAAATGAATCGTGAGCCTGAATTGTGAGAATCCTCTCAATGCCTTTGGGGGATTGAACTGTTCCATGGCATTCGGACGGAGCCACACGACCTCGCTCCGCACCACCACGCTCCCCACCTCACCCCACACCACCTCGCTCCACAACCACCCCACCCCACACGGCCTCGCTCCGCACCACCACGCTCCCCACCTCACCCCGCACCACCTCGCTCCACAACCACCCCGCTCCACACGCCCCGCTCCACACGAACCTCGCTCCAGCGGAAGAGAAGGGAAACGATCCCGGCGAGCGGGAGCACCACGGCGGAGCAGAGCAGGCCGACCACGAGCGACTCGAGCGACACCTCCACGCGACCCAGCTCCACCGCGTGCTGCTCACGCATAGCAGCAGCGCACACAGCCAGCAGCACACACAGTAGTAACACAGCAGTACACACACGGCAGTACACACACAGCAGTACACACACAGCAGACACAGTAGTAACACAGCAGTACACACACAACAGTACACACACACAGCAGTACACACACAGCAGACACAGTAGTAACACAGCAGTACACACACAGCAGACACAGTAATAACACAACAGCACACACACAGCAGACACAGTAGTAACAGCAGTACACACACAGCAGACACAGTAGTAACAGCAGTACACACACAGCAGACACAGTAGTAACACAGCAGTAGCACGCACAGCAGACACAGCAGTAACACAGCAGTAGTACGCACAGCAGTACACACACAGCAGACACAGCAGTAACACAGCAGTACACACACAGCAGTAGCACGCACAGCAGACACAGTAGTAACACAGCAGTAACACGCACAGCAGTACACACACAACAAAGTAGTAACACAGCAGTACACACACAACACACAGCAGTACACACACAGCACACACAGCAGTAACACAGCAGTACACACACAGCAGTACGCACACAGCACACAGCGGTAGAAACACAGCAGTACACACACAGCAGTAAACACACAGTACACACAGTAGCACGTACAGCAGTACACACACAGCAGTACACACACAGCAGTACACACAGTAGCACGTACATCAGTACACACACAGCAGTACACACACAGCAGTACACACAGTAGCACGTACAGCAGTACACACACAGCAGTACACACACAGCGGTCGAGACAGCAGCAAAGCAGAAAACAGCAGGACTTAGAAGCGCACAAATGCATAGCAACACCAGCAGCACAACTACAGCAACACACACAGGAGCAGCACACAACAGTAGCAAAGACAAAGATCGCCCAAATAGCTTGGCAAGACTGTAGGGTAAAGTGCTGTTAACGAGTAGCACCTATGAAGGCCGGAATGGCACACGAGGGGGTGGGTGTCCAGCACCATGCCTGACCGTCTTTGTCTCCCCAGTGGCAATGTTTTACACACCACAACAGGTACTCATTTGAGGCCGAGTTGACCTAGGGTAGGCCCAGCACTGATTCAGATAATCGTCACTGATGGTGTTGGTGGCCATGAGTGGGAATTGAACTCGGGTCACCGAGTTCGTAGCGCAGAGCGCTAACTGTTACACTACCGCTCCCCAGACAACAGTAGCATACACAGCGAGACACACACCAGGGCACACGGCAACACGTGATAAAAACACAAATAGCAGCAGACAGAGCAGACACTGCACACACGCACAACCGCAAAGACAACAATCTCCCCCAGAGTCTGTAACAGAGTGTTAGGGCAAGTGCTCTTAGCGAACACCTATGAAGGCCGGCACAGCTCACGAAGGGTTGGGTGGCCTGCACTACGCCCGGCCGCCTTTGTCTCCCTTGTGGCAACATTTGCACACCGCATCAGGTACGCATATGAGTCGACCTAGGAGTGGCCTAGGACCGGTTCAGATAATCGCCACTGGTATTGGCCGGTCACCAGGTTCGTGGCGAAGTGCGCTAACCACTGCACTAGCACTTCCCACAAGAACAAACATACACAAAGCAATACGCACAGCAGCAGCACACACAAGCAGCAGTGGCACGAACACAACACAACAACGGCTGCTTCAAAGCGCATCTAGCCTGGCACAAGGACTGTGGTGGCATCGATGCCACTTAGTGATGAATGGTGATTTTGTGCTGATTATGCATGCGCGCACGTGGGTGCAGCTGTGTGCGAGTGCGTTATGCGCACATGTGAATGCGAAGGTATGTGAGTGTGTGTCTGTGTGTGCGTGTGTGTGTGTACGCGCATGTGTGTGGGTGTACGCACGCTTGTGTGTGTACGGGCATGTGTGTGTGAGTGTACGCGCATGCGTGGGTGTACGCACGCGCGTGTGTATACGTGCATGTGTGTGCGAGTATACGCACGTGTATGAGCGTACGCGCGTGTGTGCATGTACGCGTGCGCAACGAACGTGTGTTGTGCGTGTACGTGCGTGTGCGTGTACGTGCGTGTGCATGTACGTGCGCGTGCGTGTGTTTGCACGTCGGCGGCGCCGCACTTTGTCCTCCCTGAGGGTGACCACCAGCGCGTTGGCCCCGGCGTACGCGAGCAGCAGGCAGAGGCACACGGAGAGGCGCTGCGTGTGCGTGAAGCGGCTGCAGGAGGGGCGGCTGTACACCGACGCCCACAAGTGGAAGTCCTCGAGGTAGGCTGTGACCTTGCTGTACAGCAGCTGAGGGAGGGACGGCCCGGCACAAGGGACGGACGAGGGCACGACATAAACGGGCTCAGCGTGAGCTGCCACAAATGGCCTCCGTCCTGCTGACGAGCGCTTTTCGTCGTCGTGCTGAGCGGCCGGCGATGCGACAACAGCGAGAGGACGGCGCACGCTCTCGAGCCGACGGGCGACAGCCGTGCGAGCGTTGGTTAAGTCCACACCCAGCACGGTCAATGTTCACAACCAGTGTTGCAAGCAATTTCAGGAGCCGAGGTGGATACACACGGACAATCCATCTGCACGATGACAAACTCTTTGTTGTGGCTTCAACAACTTGCTTTGTCCGAGTTCGTTCGACGCGGCTCGCTAAACTAATGGGGACGTTTGACCCTTTTAAACGTCGAGTGAAATACCAGCCGGTGACCCGGGTCCGTGCACCTCGGCAGAGCGTTCATAGCAGGGATCGCGCACCTCCTGAAACGGGTGTCACCCCCGAGCCGGACGTTAACATTGGGACGACCGTGAGACGTAGCGGGTAATGGAAAGTGGTGGTGGCATCGGCATCAGCAACCACGCCGACATGTTGACCATAACCTCGCTCGGTCATCTTGATCACCGTCAGCCATTGTCTACGGACCGCTGCACGAGGGCCTCTCCACGCCATTGCCATAGAGCGCTTTGCGAGCCGCGGTACTTGCGGCGGCCCGGCCGCGGCGTCCCAGCTCACCGCGGTGAAGCGCAGAGCGCCACTGAGCGCCAGCAGCTCCCGCTCGACCCTGCCGTCGCCGCGCTCCGCCGCCAGCCAGCACTCAGCCGGGAAGAGCCAGGCCGAGCCGCTCCACAGGTCGCGCACCGTCACGCGGCTCACGAACCAGCTGGGGGACGTGCCACGGTTGTTGTGCCACAGGTGCAGCTTCCAGATGGGGCCCAGACTGTCGGGGACACTGAGGGGGTAGGCGGAGACATCGGCAGGGGGGGGGGGCACCGTGTCAACGGGAAGCCAACACCTTTTACCTGGCGGTCGTTGCTACTTTGGACAAGACCGTTCACACAGCGGATCAAGTCCACGCTGAAAACAAAGTTATTCCAGAGTCAATGAAACGAGTCCAAGTTATTTTTTCGTTGCTTAAATGAGCACCGAGACGGCGCTTATTTCCCGATTACAGCCCGAAGTCATTGGTTGAAATTCCTCATTACTATGGTGGGGGCGAGTCTATCCATTGCACTGTTGACTTCCCGACAGAGTGGTGCTCGTTTTTACCCACCCTGGAGGGATGACGGACCGAGTCAACCCCCAATCAGTGTTGGAACTCGCAACCTGCCTATTGCGAGTCGCCTGGCCACCCGCCAATGCACATTCCACATTCATGAATTTCATTAATCCACGATGAACCTTCTCAAGATTGCCAAGTTCAACGTAAATGTTCATCTGCAAGTAGCATTGTACGTTGTACGTGAACATTACAGGGATGGCCTCAAGCTGCTCGTGTACATGCTAGCGTGCGCGGGAGAGGGCGACGGGAGAGCCACGGGGGGCTTCATGTGTCAGGCGCTCAGCATCCAGCAGCGGCGATGTCCGTTCATCGTCACCTCATGATGAAGGTGTGAGTGGAGTTCCTCTCGAAGAGCGGCTTGTCTTCACAGTGGAGCTCGCGAGTCTCTGACGTCCCGTGCTCTCCGTGAAGGATCACGTTCGCCTGATGTGTACGGAGAGGCAGCGGTGGCTATGAGATGCTTCTGAGCATTGTTGAAAGATAATCCAGAGTGAAGCTAAAATCTGCTGCTTGCGAATGATCGCGCAGTGCCTTTGTGAACAAGAGTGGGAACCAATGAGCAACCATTCAGATTTGTCCACACTTTTCCCACGAGCAAGCAACTGAGCATAGTGCCCCCGAACTATAGACAACACCTGTGTATTTCTGTGTGCATGCGACGAAGGAGAGATGTGGTTTTTATGCTGAATAATGGACGTCATCGGAAGTGGTCCCTCGGGTACGAGGATTACAGCCTTCCGCACGTGGTGGAATTGTCGGTGCCCCCAGCGTTGGCTGAAGCAGGCCAATCTGAGATCCGCACGCTCGACCGCAGGCACGGCAGGTGGTGCCAGGGGGGGGGGGGGTTGATGGAGGCAGGAGTGGGCCCCGGACTACCGACCAACAGAGACGTGGGACGCGGCGGGTGGCGGCACCTTGGCGGTGGTGCCGGCCCCGGCACGGAACCCGGTCTCCAGCGTGACCTCGTAGAGCTGCCGGTCGCTTGGGAGGTTGTCCTGCAGCGGGATGGCCCCGGCCTTGTGCTCGTCGTGCCGGTCCCAGCGGCGGCACAGCGCGAACCCCGGCACCGCCAGGGCGAGCGCCAGCAGCACCACGGCGCACGGGAACAAGTTCTCCAGGGGCCTGGCAGGGCGGCCAAGGCCGAGGTCGCGTTCAGGTAAAATCAAATCGCCCACCCCAAGGTGGAATTGTCACCGAGTCGCTGGGAGACTGAAGTAGGTTGCCCGCGATGAATGACGACTCAGAGACGCGAGGAGGAACCGCAGACCATAGGGAAAGGCAGAAGTAGCCAAGCGGTGAGCCGCCGACAAATTCCTCCTCGTCCCCCGATCCCCCAAGCTCTGCAGTCCTCTATTTACTGAGACGTTATCGGACAAAATTAGTGCATTCGATATTTCAACGCTTCCACATTTTTTACATCAGAAATAATGTAGATTTTAAGCTTTCGTGACTGCAGGAATCCATACTCTTACGTCTGGGGGTGGAATTCCTTTCCAGCTCAGACCCCGCTTGCTTGCCCATTGCCACATATATAGCCTCCTTGTTGTAGTTGCTCTCTCATTAGTTCAGCAGTTCCACTGCTGGATTATATTTTTTCCGCCTGAGGACGACCGCTTGTGTTGCGATCGAAATGTCGTGATGTATTATTCTTTGTTTTATTTTATTTTTATACCTACGTGACTTTACCGAAAGAACCAAAGAGTATAGAAATAATGTAGTTGCATTCACATGCTCTTTAAATCCAAGCTGTTTGTTTGGAAGGCAGCTATGCTCACCGCTGCATGATCATCACTCTAGGCCTAAGTGAGGTGTGCATGTGAGGGCAGTAAAGCAACATGTTATTGTACTGTACTTCTTTGCTTTCACCTCTCCGCTCGCCACCTTCACTCGCTCACACTGACCAGCGTGCTTAAACGCAGTCGAACAACCTCCAGGAGAGGCCCTCATCCAGCAGTGGATTAACACAGGGCAGTTCATGTCATGTTTACAGGTAACCTTTTGAAATGCAGGTATCCCTCGATTTACGAACATTCGGCTTAGGAATTTCCGCGTGTACGCAATTGGCAAACTGTGGACACTTTCGATTGACGAAATCGAATTTCCGCGTTAACGAAATGTCACACGGCAAGCGCCTTGAGACCATCAGACGAGAAGCAACCGGGAGGCTGCGTCATCCATCCGCAACAGCGTTACGGTGTCCCTGCAGTGCAACGGTAACGCCTCCACACCACCTTTCCAGTCATTCCAACATGTAGATCTGTTATTGAGTTCCCTGAAAAGTTTCATAATTTTTTTATTAATTAATATTCAATCGTGTTAATATTTATTTTTCATGATTATTATTTTTGTATTGTGAAAAGTGATGTAGATGGGGTTTTTTTTAAGGTTAGGAATACGGCTGTCCAAAACACGTCCAGAATTTTGGAATTAAATTAATGGAAAATGCTGTTCCCATTTCAAAATTTCGTTTTACTTGGGTTTTTTTGAAGAACGCATCTCTTTCGTAAATCAAGGGCTACCCGTTTTAACCCTTTCTCAGCTGGTCCCATCTCCTCCCGAGACTCGGCAATGCCTCTTGTGGGCAGTCCCGATATTTCACGTGAGCGAATGAACGTTTTATTTGGGGGCCCACGCATGTGATTCATCTGCTGCCATCTAGTGGCAACATCTTCAAAATTAAACAAAGCATTACACGGACCACGCCAAGAGTCCTTGCCCCCATTCATGAATTGTGAAAATTTCTACAGCAATCAAACCAATCAAGTTTATAGCATAAATAATACACGCACAGGTGGGAAGTGCGCGGCTGCTGTGAACGGGGACGGGTGTGCATCGGTCATTGTGCTTACCTGATGAAGCTAAGCACTGGCGTTTGTGACGGGGAGCTGGCGACCCGGGACGCGACGGCGGTGAAAGTGGTCAGGTGATCGCAGCTGCAACGACACGGGGACGGCGCAGGACCCTCACGGGGGAGTCCCGTGGCACGCACACCGCCTCGTGGACCCCAGGAAAAAACTTGCGCGGTCGGTCTCACCGAGCACGGCGTCCGGAGAGAGTCGGCGTAAACTGAGCCACGGCGCCCGCAGAATGTGAGGCCAACCGTAAAACTTTCAATTTATTTTAATACTTGTATTTATAGTGCCCTCATAAGGTCACAAAGTAAGGGGCGATGATTGCTCTGTTATAATCCCAAATGGGTAATTTGCGGTGTAATCTGACAAATTTTGAGTAATTTGGACCATGACGATAGTCCACACTGGCCTACTCCCACGGTTGGCTACGGTACAGTGCGAAAGAAGTTCAACACAGCACGCAAAATTATCTTTACCAACTACGGCGCGAGACCTTTATCATTTTACGCACGTACCGCGAGATGTTTTCGCTCACGTGCCTGGGTCTCACGATGTACCGGCGTCACATGACTGGTACCTGCAGTTGACCCTGTTGGACTGCAAGGCGGTAGCAGTCTCACATCCATCGGGCCTCCAGCTTCCTTCTCCATCCCAGTAGAGACACTCGAGCCAATCCACGCTCAGTGAGTAGTTGACAGACGGTGCCAGGTGCCGGCGTGGTGGCACGCGGTCGAACGTGGAGTCCAGCAGAGCGAGGTAGTAGACGCCTTTGTCTGCGAGAGCCGTGCAAACAGAGAAGGATTCTAACTCCGACGCACACACTGGATGCATGTTGTGTCACAGATAATTTTTCAGTGGAGTGGGTATTCGTGTCATTCTTATAGAGCAAGGCTATCATGAAGGCGCTATTTTTTTATCGATGGATATTGTCTGCCAGTAAAGCGTGATGTTGCCATGTGGCCTTATCCGATTAAGTAACTTTGGGATTTTGTTTTTAATTGGGCAAAGTTGGACCGTGATACTGGCAGACATAACCTACTCTATTTTTGCATAACATTACAGGATCTTTAACACCCACTGTGAAACAGACAGGGCATAATCAAGTGGTTAATACCCCCACTATTAACCAGGGCAGCCAATGATATTGAACCGGGATGTTCTGCAGCAAGCGGCAAATACGCTTCCATGTCACAGCGTCCAGGAGGATGTGGCATTGGTGACTATTTTGTAAATTAAAATAATTAAGGAACTGCATCGGCAGTGACGCACGTGCATGAAATCCACCTCACCAAGTCCATCGTTATAACATAGAGGCAAATAACTGATCATTTATCAGCCCACCGCGAGTGCTCGTTGCGTGACATGTGAGCCTAGTGTCGCGTACGGTCTCGTGTTCTATTGTTACGCAGTTATGCGGTAGGCAAGGAACCCACAGCTGAGTTTGGCGGGAGACAGGAGGAGGCGCACGCTGTCGCTCTGCCACTCGTAGATCTGTCTGTACGTGAAGTTGTCCGGCGACGGTTCGGCCCGGGGCCTGGCAGTCATGGGAGGAGCATGGAAGGAGAACGTCAATGGAGGGAGGACGTCAATTCGCACAGGCGTTGCCAGATGCTGCCCACCGCCATTCCACATGCTTTCACTAGCCATCTGTCATTTGTTTACGGTTATCTCGAACAGAAAGTGCAGGTTCGCCTAGAAGCACCTCCAGCTCTTCAGCGTGCTGTCGTTTGGCATGACGCCCGACTGAATCGAGTTCCTGCAGAAGCTTCCAGCACGTGGAGTGGGACGTCAGGCATCTTGCCAAATGACAACACGTGGCACAACCTAAACAACACACTGGTGGAGAGCTGTACAGCACAAGGGTGAAAATCTAGATGGTCGTCTTAAGCAGCCTTGAACATCTTGTTGGGGCACGCGTAATTAGCGAGGACTTACGGAGGCCAGTACGGCACACGAGGAAGTGGATGGCCAACACCACGCTGGGCCACCTTCGTCTTCTCAATGCTGATGTTTACATTTCGCACCTGGTACTCATTTGAGTCTGAGTCGACCTAGAGGAGGTCCAGGATCGGTTCAGATATTACGTCACCAATGTTGGCCATGAGCGGGAATCGAACTCGGGCTTGTAGCAAAGCGCGCTAACCACGATGTTACCACTCCCCCAAATTAAAGACAAAGATCCCCCAATATAGCCTTAACAGACTGTTGGGGCAAGTGCTGTTAGCAAGAACCTATAAAGGCCGGAACGGCATATGAGGGGGTGGTTGTTCCAGCAGCACTCCCGGCTGTTTTGGTCTCCCTTGCGGCAATGTTTTTACACATTACACGAGGTACTCATTTGAGTCTGAGTCGACCTAAGGGAGGCCTAGGACCGGTTCAGATAACAAACCTTGAGGAGGGGGTGAGTGGAGCCAGCTCACCTCATGAGCACTGTGATGGGGAAGGGCCGCTGGCTCGGCCGCTGGAAGGCGAAGGTGATCTGCAGCGTCCCGCGCTCCTCCCCGGCGCTCACGTTGAACGCGTGCACGTTCATCGTGGGGCGCGCCAGCGAGAACCAAGCCGCCTCGCTCTGCAGGCGGCGAACGCGACACCCCCACACAGACGCTGTCAGCCCAATGGGCCGCACGCCCTCACAGGCCACAGGCACGCGGAGAGGGCCTTCAGGTCAACCCGATGACGCAAGATTCAGTCGTTCGCGACATGGCGCCCCGCACAGCTGTAGTTGAGCCACCATTGTATGTATACGGCCCTTCGTCGATCCACTGCTAGATGAAGGCCTCCCCATGCAATATAAATCACGTTGGATGTTTAACCATAACCTCGCCGTGTTGGTCAGTATGGGTTTAATGGAGCATTGGCAGTTATGTTTCAAATGAAATGTAAAACATCATGAAATTATGGAAACGAACTGGCAGCGATGCACATTCACGTGCATCGCAACCGGTTCAGATAGCATTCGTCGCTGATGTTAGCCGTGGCCAAGAACGGAACGCTAATCACTGTTACCACCACTCCACCCCCGAGTGACCGTTCCAAGCGATTCGCTAAGGCTTGCACGGCTGACGGAGACTGACCTGCAGGGACGGCAGGGGCAGCTCGATGGTGATGGGAGTGGAGAGTTTCGACACCTTGATGCTTAGTCCCTTGTGGGTGTACAGCGTCAGGTCGGCCACTGTCCCAAGGACCTGATTCACAAGAATCGCGTTACACATGTGCGCGCCGGGACAGAGGACGGCAACCTGCGGCTCCAGAGCTGCATGCGGCTCTGTAACGACAACTTCATGACGTTGTTTATTGAGGACCACCGCCTTGTGTTGTTTACTGAGGACCACAACTTTGTGTCGTTTACTGAGGACCACAACTTTGTGTTGTTTATTGAGGACCACAACTTTGTGTTGTTTACTGAGGACCACCACTTTGTGTCGTTTACTGAGGACCACCACTTTGTGTTGTTTACTGAGGACCACCACTTTGTGTTGTTTACTGAGGACCACCACTTTGTGTTGTTTACTGAGGACCACCACTTTGTGTTGTTTACTGAGGACCACCACTTTGTGTTGTTTACTGAGGACCACCACTTTGTGTTGTTTACTGAGGACCACCACTTTGTGTTGTTTACTGAGGACCACCACTTTGTGTTGTTTATTGAGGACCACAACTTTGTGTTGTTTACTGAGGAGCACCACCTTGTGTTGTTTACTGAGGACCACTGCCTTGTGTTGTTTACTGAGTACCACCGCCTTGTGTTGTTTATTGAGGACCACCACTTTGTGTTGTTTACTGAGGACCACCACTTTGTGTTGTTTACTGAGGACCACAACTTTGTGTTGTTTACTAAGGACCACCACTTTGTGTTGTTTATTGAGGACCACCACTTTGTGTTGTTTACTGAGGACCACCACTTTGTGTTTGCGTGCTTTGCAGCTCTTGAATCGCTGAGTTTTTTTTACTGAATTAAAAAAAATGGCTCTTTTATTATTTTGGTTGCTGACCCCTGCACTAAAACAATATCTAGCCAATTAAACCTTTGAATTTACTTGCGCGGCAAACACACGTTTATTATGGCACACAGTGGGCTTTGCCTGGTGGCATGGCGATGGTTTAGTGTTTTAATTGTGTTTGGGTGATTATTATGGCTCTCAGTGGGATTTGCCTGGTGGCATAGCGATGGTTTAGTATTTTATTTGATTGTGTTTGGGTGATTTGTGTCCTTTCATGTACTTTACACCTCTATCATGTTTTTGTGCTGTTTATTGTTGGAACGTTCTTACCCGCCCCTGCTGACCTCTGTGAAAGAGCTTTATAGCTCATAGGATTCCTCCTGCAGTGTAAATAAATGTCCATAATACAGTTTTTTTTTGGTTTAGATCACGTAACTATATAAATGTGTCGTTAAACTTGCCACCACCCGACACAGCAAATTGCTAAGGATTGTCACGTAAACAGAACGTGCCAATTCGTCACTAGCGCACCACACCGGTGTGTTGTAGAGCCAAGCCACAACATTTACAATCTGAGTACGACGTTTCGCCATAAATACATATTGAGATTCTGAGAGTCACCTCGTGATAGCGGCTGCCCCAGAAGTAAGGGTTTGCGTTGAAGTGCACGATGCGGGTGTAGACGCTGCCATTGGGCTGGCGCGTGATCTGCCCGTCGAGATCCCGCGGAAGGTAGAAGACGGCTCCCCCGCTCACGGGGACCCGGGCAACCACTCCCCCCACGGAGCCGAGGCGCTCCACGCGCACGGCCAGACCCTCCAGCTCCACGCTCGCCTCCGCCTCGCTCGCGAGCGCCACGTACCTCTGTGGCAACGGGCGACAAACAAACGGCGGGGGCAGTCGCACGCTTGGCAAGCGACAAAACCTTGAAGGATTGTGACAGAGTAAAAAAACACACTCGCGAGCGCGGAATTCGCGAATGCCGAAACCTTGTTCCAATGGGAAAAATTAGGTACGCGCCTAGTACGAGTGAACATAGGTGGGGAAATTGTAAATGTTTAAGAACAATGACGACAATAAATGAATACATTACGAAGACATTTTTTTAATTACCTTTGGTGAGGAGGAGGATGATGATGATGATGATTTGACGACGATGGAAGCGGTGGTGAGGAATTCAGGTGGATGACTCCTCGCGAGAGGCAGGTATTTGATAACAACGCCACACAGCTGTTATCTTTTTAGCACTCTGGGGTAGTGCTCGCCGCAACACTTTCCCTGACTGCATTCGCGTTCTCTTTAATGGACCTCACAGTCGACTCGTTTATACCAAAATGTGTAAACGAGTCGGCTGTAAGTACGTATGAAGTAAAAAATGCGCATCAGCGAATTCAGAGCTGGATTACTGTGAGGCTGAGGACTAAGCGGGCAGCCGAGGTGTCGTGCCTAACCTTCGTGTGGCCACGTTGTGCGCGCACCTCCCAGTGTCGGTGGTCTGGCACTACGCACACTCGCGAATACTCTGGAGTCTGGCGAGTCGCGAATAGGAAATGAGCATACATTTAGTAACTCGCGAATATGCGAAACTCACGAATACAGAACTCGCGTGTAGCGAGGGTTTGCTCTGCAATTTTAGAGTAATCGTCGCTCGCAATTGTCAGCGGCCACACCGTCTTCTCGTGTCTCCTAGACTTACCTCCATTACTCTACGCGATCTCCGTACAAGTTACCACAGTTTCCCGTGGCCAATGGGTTGCCGGCGAAGACCGCCCTGAATACGCTCTTGTGTACAATGGTCTTAATAAAGGAACCTTGCCAAATCATGCTTGGACTTTAGAAATAAGTGATGGGCGCTGAACATTCAGCACGCGGAGCGAAACGTCAGACATCGTGCCGTACAGCACCCGGCACAAGCCGAAACACGTCGGAGGGCTTCGCAGCACAACCCGTGAAGACCGACGAATCAACTCGTTTTGCCTTTCTGATTTTTGTTGGTCGCCATTTAAAACCCGCTCAACAGTCACGCCACAAACGCTTCACCAGTGCGTGTGTGCCGTCACACCGCACGCCCCTCAACACACGTGACCCAGGGATGGTCCCCGTCAGCGAGCAGCCGGTCCCTGTCCGGGCACCTGCAGGAGGCGGGTGATGGAGGCGACGGCGCGCGGGAGCAGCCGCGGGGTGGAGGGATCCTCTCGCGCCGACACAACCCGCAGGCTGCGGCTCACGGCGCTCAGCAGCTGCGTCACCGAGGCCCAGTCGGGGGTCGGGGCGGCGTCGTCATCCGCGGCGACCAGCCACGCCAGCTCGCTCAGCATCCACAAGGTGTTGTTGCCCAGCTGCACGGGATGCAGCGGGGGGCGTGTTACTCGCACACCACCCCCAGGGCGCGCGTGGTGGAGATGGGGTGAGCGTGCGGTGGGCAGTACGCGTACGGCAAGAGTGGGTGGGTGCCAGGCCAAGTGCGCGCTGGGTACCTGTGGGAGCGTGCTCGTGAGCTCCGCTAGCCTCGTTGCTGTGTCTCGCAACTCTTCCTGCAAACGCATATCGGGTATTTTGAGTCGTTCGCTTTTGCACAGAAAACTTTGCGATCACCATACGATTACTGGATGGTCCTGCTAGGTGTCCGTGTTTGTGCACCAGAGAGGCACTGTTACCTGTGTGCTTATACGCAGGTTGCACAAGGTCTGGATGAGCCTCTCCCGAATTTCCAACTGCCGCGTCATGCTGGCATTGTCGGTGCTGACGAGTCTGTTGAGGACGGAGGTCACGATGCCCAGGAAGGTGCGCGTCAGGCGGGCATCTCCCAGCCCGAGCACCTCCGTTAGCTTCGCGCCGGGCGTCACCAGCGCCGCGTGGCTTGGGGAGTCACGAGAGGCGCCGCCCATTAACAAAACGTTCATGTGCTAAGGAGCCCGCGTAACACTCTCGCTCTTCTTACCAAAGACACCAACGCGGCTTCCATCACGTGGATCGCTCGTGGTGGATGTGAGGATATGGTTCACCCCTCCGCGTTGATTCACTCTCTGGTCATTCATCATTCATCGCGCGTACATCCCTCTCTATTCATTTCCTCTCCTACCCCGTCAGCCACCACACCCCTGCTTAGCTTTCCCCCTTATGTTCGCATGATGGCCGAGGAGTACAGCACAATATTTCGTATGCAATTGTAAAGACTCAACTTTCTGTTTTTGTACAGATCTGCATCGATACTCAAAATAAAATATTTTTATAAGACACTTGGGTCCCAATGGGCTCTCGCTGGTCTCTAACTGTGCCAACACTGCCCCTCCTGCATCACGGACTCACATGTACTTGTCAAGGGTCGTGCCGTTGGGTGCCGACAGGTTATCGACTTTGACGCGTTGTGAGCAGAGCTCCGTCGGGACGCCCAGGCTGTTCCTCGCCAAGATGGAGACGTTCACTGCGGAACACAGCGCGCGTCGTTAGTGTCGCCGCGACAGGCCCGGCGCACGCACGCTAAGCGTCGCGGCCAAGGTCAGACGTCGTACCCATGTTGGCATCTTGCACGCGGCCCGCCGGGAGGACGAAGATGCGCTCGTTGTCGAGCCCCTGGTAGAGCAGGGTGGGCTGCACAGAGCTTCCGCTGGCACTGTAGCTGTACTCGTACTCCAGGGGCTGGTGCTGCTCAAGGAGGAGACACGGTCGGCAGCGTCACGCAATAAGTGGATGCGCGCTTCCCGTGGGAAGCATCAAACGAGACCGTGGTCCATCGCGCTCCTCTCCGCATTCCGCCCCTCCCGAGGGAAGTGGCCACCCACCTTGGCGTTGGAGCTGCTGCAGAAGATGCTGAATACGGTGAGCAATTCCACACCATCGTTGGGGCTGATGGTACAGTAGACCTCCGGGTTCGGAGAGAGGGCAGCCGTGAACAGAAGATGTACGTACCCTTTCTCTACCGCCGTGCCTGCGGACCAGTGTTGTGCGGACGTGCGTATGCACCCACGCACACGCATGCGTAAGTGCACGGACACAAATACATGTGCACACAAACACACGCACACGTGCACAATATACACAGGCACACGAAGATTTAACAACACGCAAAGATGTGCCGACAAACAGCAGTAAGGCACGACTCCCATCGTGCCTTGCACGCATGTCGTGTGACCACCACGTTGCATGCACACACGAACGCACCCACGCAGCATTAAATAGGGGGCCTCTTTGTGTGATATAGATATGAGCCGGCGAAGTAGCATCACTGGCAACGAGGATGCAGTTGTAGTGAGGCATGGGGGACTCATTACCCAACGTGCTGGTGACGGTCAGCACGATGGCGTAGGTCTGGTTGTCCGTCAGCATGTTGGGCCGCAGGGTCAGGGTGTCGCCACTCAAGCCTTTGTCGATGAGAGAGAGAGAGAGCAACAAAAACGCCCGTCACTGCCGCGGCAGGACCCCGGTGGGATTTGGTGGAAAGAAAAAACGTGCGTGGGGCAGCCGGAGCTCGTGTGCACCACTATGGCGGCGGCTGGCCATGCACGGCAGCTCCCGCCAGTCTCACCGCTAGACGTCATGTCTTCTCTCAGAAGGTTTATCTCCAGAACGTAGTCTATCGACTCTTTGACAACTTCGACCTTTGGCTGGTCCGGGATCACGTCGTCTCCTGGTTTTGTGGTATTTGTGGCAACTGTGAGATTAAACGCAACCATAATTAAAATGCACTCGCACACTTCACCGCAGTCATTTTTACACGGGTGCATTGTCAGCAGAGGACGCGTGCTGCCACGGGACAATAAAGCGATGCTCCGCATTAATAATATAACCACGCCGTTGGAGCGAGAGCAAAGCAGTGCGGGGCAAGTAGATGAACTGGGCAGACTCACTGTTGGGCGGCGCCGTCACGGAGCCAGAACCGGAGCCTCTTCCTGAAACATTCAAAGAGCGCGCACTCCGTTAACGTGGCCAGCGTGCGATTGTGACGCAGCCGGGGCGCAAAAAACGGAACGCGTGGCGGCGTGCAACGACGCGGCGCGTCACGCGGGGCTCCTACCGGAGTTCACGGTGCCCTCGGAGATGTTCCTGGAGATCCCGCCCGAATCGACAATGCTACCCGACGAGCCGGCCTGTGGAGTGGAGGCGCTCGCCGTGGACGGCGCGCTCCGGGTGGTGGACGGGCCCGGAGCCTCGCTGCTCACGTTGCTCGGAGCCTCGCTGCTCACGTTGCTCGGAGCCTCGCTGCTCACGTTGCTCGGAGCCTCGCTGCTCACGTTGCTCGTCACTGGGCATACGACGACAGCGGCGTTCGCTTGAAGCCGGAAGCCCGCGCCAATAGGGAAGCGGTATTTGCCTGTGACCTCCCGTTTTTCCGCGATTATCCGAACCCGACCCTTGTGTCAACAGTGACATCCGTGGGCACGCTAAGCAACGCTTAGCAGCCTCTGCGTCTACTTGCAGAGCCAAGCAGGCTGAGCGTGCAGAGACGGCCGCGCACTCACCCATACGCTGGGGTCTTTGGACAACGTTGGCCCCCTCTTCGAGACCTGGAGGCAACATTGGGAGCCACACGCTGGTCACAGGAGGAGTCATCGTGGGAGGTGCGGCCGTCGCGTTTGTCGCCGTCGAGTTCGAGCAGTTGGCAGGGCGACCTGCGAGCGAGCGGTCGGAGGAATCGTACAACTCTCACAGATGGCTGTGTGCAGCTATCATGTATGGCCATTGTATACAAACTCATTGTGTGTTGTTGCAGAGTATTATGTGCAATAGCAAATATAAGCAGAACTCTGTTCTGTGTCTCCGCATAGATATAAACATGTGTTATAGTGCACTACTGTCTTTCCAGACCAACATTATCCAGCCTCATTTCCTTAAGAAAGCAAACTCTGGGACAGTTTTGACCCTCTGGGTCTCATTGGGCTTGCCGAGACATATTTCTCTGGATAACGTCGGTCTCTATGGCCATAGCTCCAGCATAAAGTGAAAGTACCAAAGCTTATTTGGTTCAGCATTGGACATTAACTGGGAACAACAGCAGAGCCACTCACCTGCGGAATCCCCAGAGGTGGCAGCTCTCCTCTTGCGATTCAAGGACGGCCTGCCCTCTGACGCCTCGCCCTCCTCCACGTTCCCCGGATCTAGTGGGGGAAACGTGTCCTGTGACGACGTCTCAGTGGGCGCGGCCGTGCTGGAGACGGAGGCTTCACATGCGGGCGGGTTGGCGGCCTGCGTGGAGGCACGAGAGCTCGTGGGGATGGCCACGGCGGGCGCCGTCCTGTTTGCTTGCGTCGCGCCGGGAGCTGTGGCCTGTGAGGAGATCGAGGAGGTGGAGGAAGTGGTGGACGTTGAACGAATGGAGGAGGCTGTGGAGGAGGCGGTGGAGGATGCCGTGGAGGAGGGTGTGGCTCTGGAGGATAGCACGGTGATGGAGGATGCAGTGTAGGTGTCATTGGCCACGGATGAGGATGTGGGAATTGGTGACATGGTGTCTGTGGTAGTTGCCAATGTGGTAGGCCCAAATAGGCTGCTGGATTGCCCGTCCCTCAGGATGCAGAAATTTTCTGAAATGAGAAAACCAGACATAAACCTCATTTTCTTAAGACCACATCAACTCCCCATATCAGGTACACAGCAGCAGCACTCTATGTATGGCAGCACGCACGGAAATAATCGAGCAGAGAGTCTGTGCATTGTCGCGGTCTGTCAGGCAAAGGGTAAGGAGGCATTGTGGCCACAGCGCAGAAGTGGGCTCAGTACTGCGATTGATTGTCGGCAGTTGTGAGAGTACGGGCTTGAGGGCCCACGCGTAGGAGATGTTGGCCGAGAGGCTGCAACCAGGGCAAGAGGCGTGCACGGTGAGCTCCTGGTCCCACCGGACCACGCCGCTCTCACACACGGGGCACCACAACGCCACCCTGCAAGGAGAAAGTTGGTTTCCGAGTTACGAGTTGATTTTGTTTAACCAGGTGAATGCGCAAGAGACCAGGGTGATGCTCATATGCAAGAGTGATCTGGGTCCCCAAAATGCCCACAGCAAAAACATAAAACCTAAGCGCAACAAAGACACCAATGAAAATCAGAGAGAAAAAAAAAACACATTACGCGAGAGATAGTGCACAAACACAATCAACAAGAAACAAAATACATTTCTCGTATCAAAAATTCGGCTGAGAAAATGTGCTTTTCAAAATTGTAGGTAGTGAAATAAAATTACAGAAACATCAACATAGACTTACGGTGATTATTGCACTGATGTTTCAAGGAAACGGACAGCGTGTGTGCCGCATGGCAACTGCCTACTCATGTGTGCGAAGCCTTCAGATCAAAGCAACGGTTCTGCTTCAGTCCCAGGAAAGAACGCTCGTTATTGAAATATCCAAACATCGCAATGCAGGGCACTCCTTATAATACGTCTGGAGATTCATTGAGGCTTTCTCTCATAAATGGAGGGCATTGTTACAAATATTGACAGTATTGTTAAGACTAACTTTTATGTTCAGAAACTGAAGACATTGATAAAAAAACACTGCCCTACAAAATATCTAATCGATGATGTTTTGAGCAGTGGTTCTTCATCATAGCACAAGGATAGAGAGGCCAGTGCCAGAGAGATGGAGGGAGTCATAGTTGGAGACTACTCTATACACCTGTACATTATATGGCCCTGATGGAAATTTTACATAAGAATGTTTCCGAATTAAGTTTTTAATTGGTGCATGACCAGTTGTTACTCATGAGTAGAGGAAGGGACAAACGCTTTGAAAATCTAACATATATTAATACATACACTCATTTGCATTGAAGGTATAATTATTAAAAGTTGCTGACAAATTGTATCCTGGGTAACCATGTTGCAGTTCTGCTTCTTATTGGAGAGAGAGACGCATAAATTCGTTTTGCTTCAGAGCAAATGTGATTCTCTGCCAGCGCTTGACACAACTCAGGATTGCGCTTGCAAAAGAGGCCACGTTGTTTCATGCTCTCAACGGGTTTATTTTATCTCTTGATAAAACAATGGATATGACCAGCAGCAGCAACAACACAACAACACAATAACACAACAACAACACAACAACACAAAAACAACACGACACGCACCGGAGGGGTGCTTCTTGGTAGATGGTGATGAACTGCTTGGAAGTAACGGCGTCCCGTCCGGGCTTGCTGACGGTGAGCAAGATGACAAAGGCGTCCGTCTGCACCAGCAGCGCGGCGGGGAACTCGAGGCGCACGGCGCTCGACTCGAGGGGGCTGAGGCCGCCGCCCAGGGAGGTCACGTCCCAGCATGAGGTGCGCGGGTTCCCCTTCAGGTAGCAGCCCCAGCTGAACCTGCGGCAGCCGGACGCGATCGTTTACTCCCCGGGATCCCCTGACGCCAACAAGAGAGTCAAAAGCGCCCCGGCGGTCGGGAAACGGACACGCGAGAGAGTTGCCGCTGCAAAAACCCGCAGGCCCACGCTCGCTGCCCTTTCCCCTCTGCGGAAACGTCGGCAATGGAGGAGGAATGGGTGATGGTTGATGATAAGAAAGGAGGCCCATCGCTCAGCTCTAAATTATACCTTTTATTAGCACTACACCTCGTCATAACCCGTCTTACATTGCTGAAACCATTAAGCAAACGAGGTTTTTTATCAAACCTATAGTGCGGCCTCAAACTTCGATGGGCACATATAACTGTGCCCTGCATTTACCGGGATTTTTTTTTTGCCACACCCTTAACATTGGAACTAAGAACGGTCAACTGCACTCTGTGAGAGATCAACCACTGAACGCAGAGTGCAAGGCACGCAGAGTGCAAGGCACACTGACTCTCGTTGTGAGCCGCGTCTCCACGCTGCACAGGAACGTCACACATCAGTCAGCCCCGGTGAGTTCCAGAACTTTGTGGAAAAAAAAAAGATTCAACTTAAGTAACATTACAATCTTGTAAAATGTGTGAAAACGTCGTCTTCATGAATGAAACAATCCTTTGTTCACAAAATAATTTTACCGGGCCACCCTGAATGAGCCCGAAATATGGAGGACACGGTGGAGGCAATGACCCAACTCGCCTGAGGTCGGTCGAGTCCTCCGGGTCGTCGGGGTCGAGGGAGCGTGACCCGTCCAGCAGCACGTGTTGCTGCCGAGTGAGGAACACCCTTGTGCCGCCGGAGATGATGCTCACGAGCGGCGAGGGCTCCACCACGACGCTCACCGCGTACACCGCGTACACAATCGTGCCCGCGATCCGCACCTGGGCACGGTTTGCCACGCCCCAAAAGATGCCGTTCAGTGCCAAGTTTCTCACTCTCTCTCTCTCATGGACAAAGGCTTGAGTGGGGACGCCCTGACCCTGTGGCCCAACATGCTGATGGACAACCAGACCTACACCATCGTGCTGACCGTCACCAGCACGTTGGGTAATGAGGCCCCCATGCCTCACTACAACTGCATCCTCGTTGCCAGTAATGTTACTTCGCCGGCTCATATCTACATCACACCAAGACAGATCCCAGGACATGCTCTACACTGCTGAGGAGCTGAAACCAGGCCACGGTCAGCGTACTTCTGGATTCACCGTCATGAAAACAAAACAGTAACATCAGGAACAACCGGAGTCAAATTTTACGCTGAAGAGCCATTGTTGTCTAAAATATTAGCTGACGGTAGGTGTTGCCGTTGTACGGCGGCGACAGAGACAATTTTGATGTGGCACTCGTATGAACGTACACGGCGTGTCGTGGTGCGGAGGACGATGCCATCGCTAAGAGTGAAGCCACACGCTCACCTTGGTGGCGACGGTATAGTTCCCGTAGCTCAGGGTGTTCGCCGGAATGACAAGCCCCCGGTTGTTGGTGGCCACAGATGGCGGCAGCGCCAGCGCAGAGCCGTCCTTGTCCACGACGGTCCAGTTGAAAAGCAGCAGCTGGGAGGTGACGCAGTCGACTTTCTCATCCTCCAGACTCACAGCCAGCACCAGTGGTCGCCGGCGGACCATCTGCTAGGGCCAGAGGCAGCATGAGGGCAAAGCACTTGATACATGGCACCGCGCGTATTTTCACGAAGAAAGACATTTTCAGTATCTAATGAAAAAAACTACAGCCAATCCTGTCTCTTCTCGGGACCCAGCAATACTCTCCTGTGGCTGGATATTTCACGTAAGCCCAAATTACGTTTTTTTTTGCAGGCCACTTACGTGACGTGTCGGTTTCCATCTAGTGACAACATCTGTAAGAATAACAATATTGCACTTCAGGACTTGGGGCCCCCATGTTTCACTCATTTTGCTTTTTATTTACCAAAAATCAAACTGACCATGCTAACAGAATACATTTTCTGTCTGCAGGGTGCTGTGCGGTTGGAAAGCGCTTCGCGTGTGAAAGGGTTCAAGCGCTCGTGCGTTCAAATCCGCGGTACTTTTGTGAGCACGGGCCTTGATGGGCAGCGAGACGTGCAGCTTGACGAGCGGCGGGGAGCACGGCTCCAGCACCACAAACACCGTCTTCTGCAGCTGACCTGACGAGACGTCGTTCCACACCGTCACCTCCACCTCAAACTCCCCCTGCCTGCACGACAGCACCGGCCAAACCAGAGACGCCATTATTAGACAGACTGCACAAGAAGTAGGGCTGCCACCTTTGAGGTACCAAAAATAAATCAGGATTCACCATGGGAAGAAGAGGAATCGTTCACAAGACCAGTAGAGGCAGAGAAGTAGATGTTAATGTGTCATTCTCGTAAGTGGTACTTGATTAGTACATAACTGGAAGAAAAAAAAACAGGTAGAACTGTAGTGGAGTACGAAGGTGCGTGGTGGAGGCGGCGTGATTGCATGATCACACGGACAGTACGGGTTATCTTTGGTCAGCCTGTAGCGAAGGCAAAAACAGTATGGGTCATGTTAGGACAGCCAGGTGCAAGGGCTGGGATGATGAGGTAACGGTTGGGCCAATTAAGCCAGAGGACCAGCAACGGCAGTGATTGGCTGGGTCTGTTGTCAAGGGCGTGGAGGCGTCGAGATGTCTGGAGAAAGACAGGTGTTTGAGGACACAAAGCGTGGGGAGGCACGCGGGCCAATTAATTAGAGGTAATGAGAATGGGGATAAATTGGGGAGAGACACACAAGAGAGCGGGGGAGTTGGAGTTGGGAGCTGGACGAGACAAGACATGGAGTTGGGAGAGCTTGGAGTCAACAGGGGGAATTGAAGTGTGGAGAGTTGAGAGACAGAGTTTGGAAGACAGAGTTGAGAGACAGAGTTGAGAGACAGAGTTGAGAGACAGAGTTGAGAGACAGAGTTTGGAAGACAGAGTTGAGAGACAGAGTTGTAGAGACAAAGTTTGGAAGGAGAGAGCGTAGCGATAGCGAAACTGAACAAAGACGAAGTAGTTAGCAGTGGAGTGAGCGTAGCGATAGCGAAGCTGAACAAAGACGAAGTAGTTGGCAGTGGAGAGAGAGCGTAGCGATAGCAGAGCTGGAGACGAGAATAGTTAGTGGGGAGAGAGCGAAGTGATAGCGGAGCTGAAGATGCTGTGTGCGAAGTCGCTGAGTGCGAAGACTCTGTGTGCGAAGTCGCTGTGTGCGAAGACGCTGTGTGCGGAGTTGCTGAGCGCGGAGTCGCTGAGTGCGAAGCAAGCGAAGTGATCGTGGGGAGTGGAGAGACAAAGGTGGTGAGCGAGTCGAGTGAAGCACGACGAGCGAGCCGTGGTGACCAGGATACTGTGGAATGTGGAGGACATAATGAGAATTGTAAATAAAGTGGCGTTTGAAGAAAGACTGAAGTTGTCCGAGTGAAATAGAACACTACAGAACGATCCTAGGAAGTCTAGGACTGGGTGGCAATGCTGTGCACAAGTAGTCTGATATTTCAATTAGTTTAAAGCAGATTCGTCCCAATCCCAATCAACACACAAGCCTGGCCAACACTCAAAATCTAAAAGTGTCCTGCTGCTGAAGTGACACATATCTATGGGACCTTTTTGCCAGTATCCAAAATGACAAAAAATAGGTTTTACCCTTTCCGGCATTAAAACAGGTGTTAAGATATTGAAACACACACACAAGGTATGTTTGAACATCTTAACACCTCTTTAATTGCCAGAGAGGGTAAAACCTATTCTTATCAAAGAGACACCATGCTCTGTGGGATAGAACCAAAATGTGCAGGATGGGCTACCTCCCCGGCCCACCTCTGGTAGGTGTGCACTTCCGAGCTGTTTCCTGTCCGTACGTCGCCATCGCCGAAGCTCCAGTTGTAGCGCAGAGCAGAGTTGGAGTTCATGAAGATCTGGAACGTCACGGGCCTACCCAGCAGCAGCCCCGGCACCCTCTTGGTCCCGTTCACCATGAGGCTGTTGATCGCCACGGGCTGCTGCACCTCCAGCGACAGCACGTTGGACACCGTGCAGCTGATGCCGTTGCAGGCGCGCACCGACACGTTGTACCTGCCGCGAGCGGTGTGCCCTCATCAGTGGAACCAGACGCGTGGTGCGGAACGGAACACGACGGTGGCGCGGTGACAGACACTCCACAGAGACAGGCACCGGGCCAGAGGACGGGGCCAAGCCAGCAGTGGATATGGCGTAGACAAGCGTGCTGCTTAAATTAAACATTCAAGAAACGTAGTAACAACGACAACAATAATAATTAGCCATGTTGGCAGAGGCCAGGATGGTGGCAGAACTTCGGTACTCACCTGCGGGCGTATTCATAGCTGTAAGTCGCGTAAGGGAGCCGTACGGTAACCGGGTCCGTGCCGTCCCCAAAGTGCCACTCGAACGTGACAGACACGGTGTCCGCCGGAATGACGGAGAAGCTCACGGTGCTTTTCACGGCAAAATACTTAGAGGTCGTCTCGATCATCACAGCTGTGCGAGCCAGAAGAAACAGGACGGGTTAATGGCACACATGAGACTTTCTACTTCGCGACTGTTTTACACTCACCTTTCATTGTAGTTTTGTGACAAAAACGGAATCCTAAAGTCTTACTAAGTTGCAACTAAGTAGAAGCGTTTAATGAAAATGCAGGCAACAGTCTCAAGTCCAGTAAACTCATTGATAACCAATAAGTACAATGAAATACAATTTGAATGTTTGAAGAGTCTAAAAGCAACCATATTAAAAAAAACTTTATCTCCTATTATCTATAACAATAAAAATCAAAGTTATTTCCTGCTCAAATGAGCATCAAGGAAGTGCTCATCTCCCGTTTACAGCCCTGAACCAGTGACTGAAATTGCAAAATCCTATGGCAGGGGCGACTTCTCCATAGGACAATCGCTGCTGACTTCCGCACAAAGTGCTACCTATTTTATTCACCTGGGAGGAATGAGGGGCCCCGTTTGCACCCCCAACCTTGATTCGAACTTGTAACCTTCCAATTGCCAGCCACCTGGCAGGTGTTTGTTTTTTATTCATTCATTATCTATCACAGCAAACCATATTGGCTCACACCAGAACGATATTTACTTTTCTCTTTTTTACATCACTGCGCAATGTTTGGCGGTGCAATGAGGTTGCAGGTCGGCGTATTGCGGTGCGGTCGACTGGCAGGGCCGCGGGGGTGTGGGTCAGCGGGGCGCACCGTGCATGGCGTTCTGCACGGAGAGTTGCGCCGTGGCGTTGAGTGAGCCCACGAGGTTATAGGCCACCACGGTCACGTTGTAGAGGCCGGTGGACGTGTACATGTGCTGCACCTGTGGACCTGCAACACAGCCGCAGCACACGCGACAATAACAAACCCCTCTCCACACTAATAAAAAGGCGTGGTTACCCCGTTTAGCCAGAAGAGACCATCGGGCCAAGCCTAACTCTCGCCAACAACTACAAATGTCGGGAGCAGCACTCCAGGGGGTTGTGCAGTAAGTACCAAGGCCGACCACGTGGTCTGGTTCAGATAATCGCCACGGACTTGCTCTTGATTCGTGGGGTTTGTAGCATGGCGTGCCAACTACTCCGTTGACACTTCACTCTCCAAACACACGCACAGGCAGCTACAGACACATGCACAGGCAGCTATAGACACACACAAAGGCAGTATACCAAAGCATAGAGCACGCATCAGCATCCTGTGCCTGTCCATTAGGAATGCAGACTCCCAGACTCCACTACGTGTCAGACCACATGGTGGGGCACAGGGCGGGGAGGGTTGCGACGCAGGGTGATCCCGTGCGTACCGGCGGCCAGGTAGTTGGTTTCGTCTCCCATGGACCAGTTGTAGAGTGGCTCTGAACCGAAGCGCAGCCTCGCCGAGCAGCTGACGGGCTCTCCGTGCGGCACCGCGCTGAGCGGCGTGTCGATGCTGAGCCCCGCTGGCGCCCGCTGCACGTAGAAGGGATCCGGCATGTTGGCGATGCTCTCCAGCTCGTTCAACGCCGTCACCGTCACGTTGTACGCTCCCTCTAAAACACGGGTGCACGTTCGTCCGATTACACGCGTCGCGGCCACGGCGATGGCCGGAACGCTCCGCACGATGCGGTGAGCAGGCGTGAATGCGACGCGGCCGTGACTGCAATTCTACCAATTACCTTCGGTGAATGTGTGCTGCCACGTGGCAGAAGCATAAGGCTCGAAGCCCATCAAGGCCTCCACGAGCTGGGAGATGTTTCCGAGGGTGAAGAGAAAGCTCATCGGAAAGGCGGGGTTTGCCCGCGCCTCAAACACCTGCAACTCCGTTTGCCACGAACCATTCAGGTGTTCATTCAGCGTCGCAAAATTCACATATCTGCCACACAAAGAAAGATATCCCCCGTATAGCCCTTCACAGAATGTTGGGGCACATACAAACACAAACGATAAAGAAGCTTGGCACGAGAACCTAAATAATCAAGGCAGGGAGGGGCATAGGATGGCTGATTAATAAGGTCGTGGATACGGCTGGCTCCTTGTGGGATGATAATAATAACTTACACTTTTATTCAGACTCTAATATAACGAAACATCCCAGAGTGTAATTATTATTTAGGCTAGGGCACTCCCTCATGGCAGCTGTCACTGTGGGGAACAAGGTGACTCAGCACTTGAGTTGCAAGTGGGCATCTAGTCTGCCAGTACGGTGCGATGATTGCCATGCGTAATCACTCAATTGCAGAGAAATTTATACCATTATGGCAATGGCAAACTCTTTCAGAATGCAATCTCAGGATCTTTAATGTCCACTGAGAAGCAGAGGGGCACGTATATATGATATTTATAATATTTCACCCAGGGTACACATCAGAATGGCCTCGATGATTCGAACCACAAGTGGTGAACGTGATAGCGCTGGGTCCTGTCACCTGGATGGTACCGGCCAACACCCAGCATGACTTATCTTGTTCAGTAAGACAATTACCAGGTCTTCTTTTGCATCATCTTACATTGGCAATATTTATGATGTTTCACCCTAACCATTTTCCAATGTGGAAAAGGCACACCGTGTCACCCAGTGCCCTGCGGCAGTTGCGGGGGCAGGTTTACCGATTGAGGGACTTGCTGAACGGATATAACAGCTCCACATTCGTGATTGGCGGCAGCACGCGCACGGGACGATCCAGGCTGGCGCTCGCCGACTTGTCGAGCAGGGCGCTCTCAGCCGTCACACTCACGGCGTAGTCGTTGATCTCAACCGCTGGGCAGACCACGGTGCTATGAAGGCCATCGCTGCATTCACACACACACACAGACACACAAAGACCCCCCCGCAAAGCGTGAACAGACTGTTGGGGCAACTGCTGTTAGCGAGTAGCACCTATGAAGGCTGGAACGGCACGCGAGGGGGTGGGTGGCTCGCACCAAGCCCGACGGCCTATGTCTCCCTAGTGGCGATGTTTACATACTGCACCTGGCACTCATTTGAGACCGAAGAGAGATAATCGCCAATGCAGGTGGCCGTGGGAATCGAAGCCGGGTCACCGGGTTCGTAGCAACGGTGCTGGTCGACAACGCTTACAACATAAGCAATGCCATTGGGTAAAGGCCGATTTCAATTGGCACGAGCACACACACAATCACGCAGCTTTGTGTGCCGTGAAAGTAGCAGAGATTGCAAACGAATCAAGCCACCTCGCAAATAAACCTCCTAGACATTGAGATTTCAACCTGTCATGCCAAAATGAAATGCCGCATACTTTAAATGTATTGCTGAAAAACAACAACAACAATAATAACAATCATTGACAGCCATGCAATGTCATGGGAGTTGTTATATTTCTCCTGGAAAATCTTGAGATGGAATGTATCATGAGCAAAGATATCCACAGGGTGTCGATTGACACATACACAGCAAACACAAAGTGATGCATATACAATGAAGTAAAATGTATCTTATACGGCTTGCATTCGCACAATGATTATCACATATGCATAAATAAATACAAATTAAATGGTGCAGACCGTTGATTCCTGTAGAATGTGCTCCGAGCTGTAACTATTTCACCGTGCTCATGAGTGCAGGCTCAAGGGGGGCCGAGGGGGGGGGGGGGGGCGGCACGACGTTCAGATATCGGTAAAACGACAACGAACCAATCCCAACCTGGCTTCGATGGAGCAGTCGAGGGGCACGTGCCACGGCGTCTCGACGCGCCACGTGAAGTTCACTCCGCCGGCGGCGGATTCCACCGAGGCGGTGGCGTTTATCACGCCCCACAGCGGCACCGAGTAAGCCGAGTTGAGCACCAGGCGCAGGTGCCAGGCGCTGTCGGGCAGCGACGCGAGCAGGCTGGCGCTCCGCGAGCTCACGTCGTTCCTCACCGTCGCGTTCACTTGGAAGCGCCCGGCCGCGTCGTACCGGTGGGCGACGGTGAAATTGTAGCAGCCCCACCGCTCGGCGAACAGGTCGTCGCCGGGACACTCGGCTACCCACGCCAACGCGGACCCCAGCCGGCCGGACGACAGCTCCTCCCGGACGCCGTCGCCAAAATCGAGCAGCAACGTGAACTCTTGCGCGGGCGCCACGGCGAGGGAGAAGCGGGCGGGCGCGGAGACGTCGAGGTGCAGGAACGACAGCGCCAGGGCGGTGAAGGGGCGCTCCGCTCTGAGCCAGGCGCCGGCGCCCGCGGAGCCGAGCTCGTTCGTGGCCATGAGCCGTACCTCGTACGTCCCCGTGGCGTTCACTTCGAGCTGGAACTGAACCAGCGGAGCACGTGTCAGCCGGCTACACGAGCGGCATACGCCGCCTCCACAAGCCCGCCAAGGTGCACTCTACGATTTATTTACGCGTTCAATTCGCAATTGCCGACGACCAAATGGATACATTCTGGATACCATAAGCTAAGCAGGTGTAAGCCTGTATAGTGCTAGTAAGGTGACCACCCTGTGAAACAGGTGCTATGGGCTGCTCCTGCGCAGCCATGTTGTGGGCAGCGGAGGGCAGTGCAACACATTTAATTGTTGCACTCTCCCCACCCTCCCGCCTTCTCGTCCACTAGCGAATTGACCGATGGGCAACACACGTACTGTTACACTTCGAGGTTACATTTGTATTTGAATGGAATTCACTGATTTAAAATGTAACATTCACAATATACATCGGCGGTTTCATAGCACGAATGAGAGGCTACAGACGGCGACGTTACCACCGCCACACGCGTCGCGGGAGGGGACCTCACCTTGCTGCTGCCTGTCCTCGCCTCGCTGGCGTTGGGGCCGTAGACCTCCCAGCGGTAGACGGCATTGGAGCCATTGGCCAGCTCGGCGCTGAGGCTCACCGGCACGGCCAGACCGCTGCCCGGGAAAAAACAAACGCGAACGCACGCACGGCCGCGTTCAAAGGCGCACAACGGACCGGGGTCTGCTTGCACTTGTGCCGCCTACCCGTCGCATCCACTGCTGGATGAGTGCCTCCCCCCATGCCTTAAGAGCCGTGCGGGAATATTTGACCATACTTCAACCGCGCCGAAGGTGGGGGGAGTGGAGAACAACAGTGGACGTTGCTGCACTGCCCACTGTGCACGGCGTTCGCTCGTCCGAGCGCCATCCAGGTTCCAAATCTGCTTAGCTTTCGTGATCTGATGAGATCGGGGCTCGTTACGGACAATTTGGTCATTGTCTGTGTACCCACAGGTGAATAAAGTCGAAGCCGCGAGTATTTATGAGGCTTGTGATTGTGTTCGTGTGGACCTCTGCAGGTGCGTTGTCTTCTGCTGCTTCGCGCTTCAGAGGCTACCATAGGAAGGGGTCGCGCATCACAATGCAGGGCCCTCCTAAAATATCATCTTGAGACTCAGCGAAGATTTTCTTAAAACATTATTACATATTGAGGCATAACAGCCAAGGAATGTAATGTGTCTGAGTGGACGGCCACGGTGGAAACTGAGCGACGAAATCGGTTCATGTGCATGTGCCGGATAGATTGTTGCATCGTAAGATCGCGATAGGTGGAGGTGGCGGCTTGTGGAGGCCTTCATCCAGCAGTGGATTGCTCGTGATGAGGCCCAACACATCGCGTCGCTTCATCACCGGGCTTGCGGGAGCGTGCAGCGCGCGCGGGTACCTGGAGGGCAGTGCCACCACGCGATCGGCGCCGGCGATGCGCAGCCCCTGCGGGGGCAGCAGCAGCTGCACGAGTGAGCGCGCCCGCACGGCCCCCTGGGACCAGGCCTCCACGGCGTAGAGGCCGGGCCGGGCGTACGTGTGCGCAAAGCTGCAGCCACTCCAGCGGAGCACGACAAACAAACGGAGCGGTCGGTGTAAAACACGACGCTCTTCGTATCGAATTTTCTTCAAAATGGCAAAAGAGATGCAATTCGTGCATTTTTCAACACTCTGATTGGTGCGCATTTAAAATGAAGTGATCGTGTACCGCACCTCTGGTTGAGGAATGACGTGGTATTTATGAGTAGATATTGCTTGTCTCCAAAGCTTATGTTGTATACTCCTGATGAAAGGATGTTCTGAAATTATAAAACAAGACGAGTTTATCAGCACAGATTGAGTTTTTTTTTTCCCACTGCAGACTTGACACACAAGTCAACCAATATGCAAATGTTGATGCTCACGTGCTAAGCGGGCGGTAAATGAAAGACGAAATCATTTCTACGGCCTCAATCTCATCACTCGTCATGATTGGCGAACACTTCCACGTGTGGTGCAGTTTACATTCAGCGACGGTGGCTCCCACAGTGCACAGCTTTCAGTGCGCTTACCACGAGCGTGAAATCGAGTTGCCGCCCGACCTCCCAGTACGTGGCGTGGAGCAGCCTGGGTCCCGGCGTCGGCCCTCCTCCTTCTCCTCCTTCGCTGACGTTCAGCAAGAGCTGCCCGGTGACGGCGGCCGCCCCATTGGACACGGAGACTGCGACCAGCGCGGGCCCCGCTCGCCGGCACAGCACGCCCAAGAGGGGGCTGCCAGACGCGAGCTCACGGCCGGGGGCCACCGAGTCAGGGGGGTGGGATGGGGGGGCGGCCGTCTCGCCGAGCGGCGCCTCCAAGGAGGTGGGCAGAGTCCAGGAGTAAACGTACTCCCTGGCCCTCCACACCTGGCCTGTGTGCGCAATCGGTTCAAATTGCATTAATCTACGATTACCGTAAAACAACAATTAGATTCCCCATGACTTTATTTGTATTATAATCGAGGGAAAAATGTTTACATTGCGCGGTGCATGTTAAAATTGTGCATGATATTCTCACGATGACAGCACTGGAGGTATGCTGTTTCTAGGAAGCATGTTGTTACATAGCTGTACACTGTTACAGGGTGTTATGATGGTGGCTGTTTAAGTGTCTCACCATTAACAGTCGCCAAAAGCAGCAGCTGTTGCCCCACCACTGCTGGCTGAGAGGCATTAATCGCTGCCACGGTCAGCTCGGGCACCACCATCACGCTTGCCGAGTGGCTCACGTGCGACACACTGTCAAACAGCAACAACATTCGAAGTGATGATTAGAATTACCTCATACAAACGGCGCGTTCCATTAAGATAACGAAGAGCTAAATAAACCAGCCGTCGATCGGTAGGGATGTCAAGTTTCCCAAGAGGAATGGGCGTAAGGTGCGGGCGCAGGCGGTGCCGGGCCACATACTTGTTGCTGACGTCCGCACGCAGCTGGTGCTGCCCAGTGCCATTGAACACCCAGGAGAGGTCGAGGGTCACCAACCCCGGAACGCCATCCTCCTGCTGCTGCTGCTGCTGCCACCACTCGTCCACAGCCACACTGAGAATCAGCTCGGAGTCCACGGACACAGTGAGCGTGAGGTCGGTGGCCTCGGTCAGAGTTACGGCGAAGTCCGTGGGGACGCCCGCAGTCACGGTGGAGGGGACGGACACCGCCACGCCCTCCACGGGCCGCTGCACGGTGAAGCGAGCCGGCAAGGTGGCAAGTTCGAAGCCGACAGCGTTGTTCGCAGCGACGCTCAGGCCGTACACCCCGCTCCGCGTGTACACGTGCTCGGCGAACGTGTTCCCTCCCGTGGACATGGGCGCCTCGCCGCTGTCGAACGTCCACAGGAAGTCGACGTTCGTGCCTGTGGCCAGCGTGGCGTTGGCCGTCACAGCGGTCCCCGTGGCTATGACGTGTGGGCTGGGCGAGTGCAGCGTGAGCGCCGACACCGGCTCCTGCACCACAACTTCCAAAAAGTCGCTGGCTCTGCTCACGGGGTTCGTGAAACTCGCGTTGATCAAATACTTCCCAACCTCCTCAAAGTCGTACAGCAGCTGTGTCGTGTTTTCCAGCACCAGCTCGCCGTGAGGAGTGGTGACCTCCCAGAGATACTCGCATTCAGTGAAGTTCTCAGGGCGAGCCGTTGGCTCGATGCCGTCCGAGAAATTCCGCATGGCGTAGACTCGAGCGCCGTCCAAGGTGGATACGACGGCTGGGCCGTCGATGTCGAACTTCTTCACGAGGTTGTAAACCCTGACGGGCTCGGGCAGGGCGGCCTCCGCCGACAGGTTCCCTGCGGCGAGCACGATGAACACGCGGTAGGTGCCGGCGACGGGGTAGCGGTGCCGCAGCGTCAGCCGCAGCTCGCAGTCGTCCTCCCCGTAGCTCTGCGCCAAATTCACGTGGCCCAGGCCGCCGATGAAGGCGCTGTAGCTGTCACGCAGCGCGTGGCGGTGGACAACGCCGGGCTCCAGGAAGGCGAGCAGCTCCAGCTCATGCCGGCACGTGGTCACCACGGATGTGGACAGCTCCACCGGCGTGCGCGTGTCCCACGCGGGCCCGCCGGCCACCCGCAGCGTGAAATTAGCGAGGAGCTTCGGCACCACCACCTGTGTAACGGGGCGGGCGGCGATTATCTGAACTGATCCTGGGCCTTTCCTAAATCGACACGGCCACAAATGAGTACCTGGTGCCATATGTAAACATCGCCGCTGGGGAGACAAAGGCGGCCGGACATGGTGCTGACCACCCACCCCCTTGTGTGCCGTGCCGGCCTTCATAGGGGAGGTTGGCGCTGGGCAGCCGGGGGGCGTGGGGCACGTGCAAGACGACACGAGCGGCGGGAGTGTTAATGCCGCAAGTGCAGAAGTGTGGAGAGAAGTGGCAGCAGTGGAAGATCGGTGCGATCCCTCGTGTCGCTGAAATACGCTTGCGGTCATGATTATAAATAAAATAAAATTCTACTTACCACCTCAATGCTCTTTGAAACTGCGCCGTGAATGTTTGACGCGATAACTTCGACAGTGAAGGCACCTTCTTCTGCGAATGTGTGGATCTGTGTAGACCGCAGATACAAAGACAACAAAGCTAGACGTTTTGTAAGCCGACGTCAGCTGTGCTATATAAAGACAAAGCTCCCCCGTATAGCCTTAACAGACTGTTGGGGCAAGCGCTTTTAGCGATCACCTATGAAGACCGGCATGGCACACGAGGGGGTGGGTGACCAGCACAACGCCCAGTCGCCTTTGTCTCCCCAGTGGCGATGTTTTTACACACCGTACCAGGTACTCATTTGAGGCTGAGTCGACCTATGGGAGGCCCAGAACCAGTTCAGATAATCGTCACTGATGGTGGCCGTGAGCGGGAATCGAACTCAGGTCGCCAGGTTTATAGTGCAGCACGCTAACCGCTACACTACCGCTCCCCACTATACAAAAAGCATACACCCACATATACAAACCAGGGCTTATGCAACACACGTTCCAGCTAATTACGTTAACGATGTATATCAAGCACTGCTGTCAGCTCTTTACATCCTCGCGGATCAGCCCAATCAGGGCATGAAAGAGAATAAAATGTGTTCAAATCACAAACAGGGGGCTTCTGTTTCATTTTGGCGACTGCAAGGCGGGCACAAAGCGGCAGCTCACTGTAAAACGACCAACTAAGGCGATGTGGTGCACAGCCTCATCGTTAACCATCGACCAAGCCGCAGCCACGGCCAGAGCCACACACCTGCGAGTCTCTGGAGCACAGCGTCCCGTTGTGCTCGTCGCAGTCGTCCGGAGCTCGCGATACCGCGTCTGCGCCGCCCCCTACTCCCGCGAACCTCCACCGGAAGGTGATGTTGCGCCCGGTCACAACGAACGCTTCCAGGCGGTAGGGCTCCCCGAGGAAGATGGGCAGCGGGGTCCCCGCCGGGGAGGAGGTGGGCACCGGCTCGGCCGGGGCGGCGCGAGCGCGGGGCACGCAGGTGGGGCGTGACGAGGGGCCGTAGGCGACGTCCACGTTCAGGCCGGTGGGCGAAGGCAGCGCCACGACCAGCGAGACGTTCGCCGCCGCGCTCGAGATGGAATTGCGCGCCGAGACGACTGCGCGCGGCCAACGGATGGGGGGAAAAGTCACCCCCACCGCCACGGACGGGCAGGTGCAAAACAACCACGAGACAGTTTGAATTTATGAAGCGTGTACACGTGACCAGATGCTATCCAAAAAACGAAAACACAAGACGTACAATCGTCTAGGGGAAAGAGAGGGGGAGAGCAGGGGGCTGGAGAATAACATTTCCAGACACGTAGGGAGATGGGCATGGTGAATCGTAGGCAAGACTTGAAAAAATAGTCAGCACTAGGGCAGCAATAGAGAGGAGGCCTTGGTTAATTGGAGTGGAGAGCTACTGGTGAAGAGTAGCACAAGACGAGAGGGGAAGAGCAAAGCACTTATTCAACATCTCATCCTGTCCCGCCTGTAACGAAGGAGCAATGCCTACCAATGGTGTAATTTCCAGGCTGCTCGTAAATGTAGGCTGGGCCCCGGCTGAACTCGCCAGACTGGAGGCAGTGGAGTGTGGTGATGTCCACCTGACCGTTCCCCCACGCCACTTCCACCTCCACCAGCGTGAGGTTCAGCCATGGCAGCAGAGCCAGGCCTGCAGAGAACACGGTGAAGCGTAAAAGCAGGCACAACGGTGATAATTATTGCGATGATAAAGGGGACGCTGATGCGGTGGTCATGGTTTAAGCACACAGATGTCACCAGATTGGTCTCAACAAAACGACAGTTGAAACAAAAAACGAGATTTTTAAATCGCCCTGCCTCCTTCCGCCCATCCAGCAGCTTTCATGGATACACCAGAGTAAGTTGTTACGCAGGTCGTGTTTGGTGGTGTAATGTGGGTAGTCCTACCTCTTCCAAGAAGTCTGGCAATCATTCTATGTATATACATTGAAATTATTTCGCACCGTACAAAGCCAACTGTGCTAATTGGAGGTGCTAAAGCATTGAAGAGTAGGACAATTATCTTCTAGGGGTGCTCTCTAGAGCAAGAGATTGCAGGTATGCACTGCTACCTCCAAACTAAGCAAGGGCAGAAAACTCAGCTCGTACATCAATTTGCCGCGTGTTCCATGAGCGTGCTCAGGAGACTGGCGGTGGGTTTGTGATGCGATGCCGACCTGTGCTGTGGTTGGTGCTGGGTGCCGCCAAGTTGCCCATTGCCTCCAGCAGGAACTGGCGCCCTGCAGGGATGGAGCGGTAGAGCAGAGACACGCGCAGGCCCAGGATGTAGGGTCCGCTCGTCTCGTACACGGCCAGCGTGTCGTCCCCTCCTCCCACCGGGAGGCACGTGGCTCCATCGCAGCTGCACCGCAGCGTGGGGTGTCACGGAGGGACAGAGATGCATTAACTTATGGCCTGTTCATTGCTGCACGTCGGTTTATTTTCTCAAGTGAGATCCTCCAACAGTGTGGCTCGATTGCAGCAGACAAGTGCTATGGTCACTGTGACAAAAAGTAACTTAAATAATTATGTAAAAATGCAGGGTAGCCTTGTTGGCACTGAACTATGATCCGTCACTAAGGCCCTCTAGACGGGGCATTGCTAACGCAATACACTGAGGTGCAAGCTCCCAAACATCTGTCACCACCCAATGTTTCTGTCACAGGGAGGAAACCATTATTCACTTTACCACGAAGAAAATTCCTCTGGCTCTGCTCTGTGTGCGAGCCTTCCTTTGGATAAAAAGTGAAGAAAAAATATGCCACTAATGGCAAGAATAAATGGTATAATGCACCACAATTATGCAAGCAAGATATTCAAATAGGAAAATTGAGGGTCATTATCAAAAGTCTGCTCCAGCACTCGCCTTTGTGAGCAGGCGGTGTCATCGGCAGGTGGGAGCGACGTCGTCTCATTCAGGCACGTGCACTCGGAGCCCGAGAAGATCCCAGCAAACCGGTACCTGCGTGCACAAACCAACGGGATTACAGTGCGCACGCATTACAACAATTAACTCATTCTTAGCAAAGCGACAAACAAGCAGCAACGAGTTAATTGTGGGCCCGGGCACGAGACGCAATGCAGCACAGCACTCTGGCTGGAATTAATATGCAGGCTCGCCGGCGATCGTGGCCTCCAGTGTTAGTTACGAAGTCTCATTTCATCATCGTGAGCCCGCGATTCTCGACCTGGCGTCGCTCCCTGCCCTGCCTTCAGGGTGTGCCACAGCGCGGCCGCTTGGTGCGTGTGCATTGTCGCACCGGCCGATCCAACCACGTGTTTATGCACACCCACACGCTCCTATTCAATACGGTCCATCACGTACCTTTACGTAGCTGTGCGACACGCTTGGGATGTAACACACGGATTAAAAAGAAAGCAGGCGGTGTTGAGTTGGGAAAGCCATGACATACAAACCTTTGTTATGATGTAAGGCAACTGGCCAGAGGTCGATGTAACCTAAAGCTAACTCAAATGTGTCAACGGTATTAAAATGGAATGACATGCAATGCGCATGATGATTAATCTGAGTGCTGACAAGGAGGCCCTCTTGTAAAGTTTAATGTCTCTGGTGAGGAGCGGTAGTGCAGCGGTCAGCGCGCTGCGCGACGAACCCAGCGACCCGAGTTTAATTCTCGCTCACGGCCACCACCAGTGACGATTATCTGAACCGGTGCTGGGCCTCCCTTAGGGTGACTCAGCCTCAAACGAGTACCTGGCACGATGTGTAAACTTCGCCACTGGGGAGACAAAGGCGGCCGGGTGTGGTGCTGGCCACCCACCCCGTTCGTGAACCGTGCCAGGATTCAGAGGTGCTCGCTAACAGCACTTGCGCCCAAAAGCATCCATAATGCAGTTTTTTTGGTTTAGATCGTGTATATATGTGTCGTTAAGCCCGCCACCACCCGACACAGTCAACTAGTAAGGGTTGTCACGTAAACAGAACGTGGCCAATTCGTCACTAGTACAGCACTAACCGGTGTGTTGGAGAGCCAAGCCACAACATTTACAAACTGAGTACGACGTTTCTGTTTACGTGACAAACCTTACCAATTGGCTTTATATATTTAACCCAAAAAACCCCTTGTATTATGGATGATATTGGTCGCGAAAGCCCCTACGTGTGAAACCCAAAAGCATGTTGAGACGATGGGGGGGGGGTGGATGATGTCTTTGTCCCATCTCTCAGACACAACGAACGTGTTTCCACGTCGCCGTCGCGAGGCGCATCGCTCGCCGGGCCCTGGGGCTGGTGGGGTGAGGCGGCGTCGGGCGCCGAACGGCACTGCCACGGCTAAGAGACCCACCCCCACCCCGAGCCCTCGCGTGACGCAGCCACCAGAGCCCTTTCTTTGGCCCGGCGTCTGCTGCAGTCACGCGATCGGCGAGGTTACAAGACGGACGGGTTCCGGCGAGAGGCTGTCCCCTCGCCCAGGTAGAGTGGCGTCCGGGGGCGCAGCAGTCATTCCTGTCTGGGCTGAAGGAAGTGTACTGTACCGGCCAATACGTTCCGACGAAAACGGCCTCTTTTGAACAACAACAAACAAAAAAACCACGCAGATTCAATGTGCTCACGGGGCAGTTGTTAGGCCGTGTTAGCGCGCCCCGTTCAAACGCCGCCTTTGCGTTCAATACTCCAGGCGCGTCCTGCTCCACAAAGCAATCGTATAAACCATAAACCCTGCTACCAACCGCTTCACCCAAGTTAGATTCCTCACCATGGCTAACTCCAGCGGCTGAGCGACATCTCATCCAGTCCCGGGCTCTCTCCTTTCCCCAATCTGCACTGACCCGGAGTGGTGAAGCATGTTCCAACAAACCCCAAGACACGGGGGAGGTCTTCATCCAGCAGTGGATCGACAACGGGCTCCAATTGATTAACAACAGTATTAGTATACAGATGATTTTTCATTCAAGAATGTTCATCACAACATGTTCCTGCATGCAGGCTTCGACCCTTCGCTGGCGAGGACTCCCTCCCCCCAGCGCTGCCCCTCACTCCCCCGGCAGGCGCACAGAGGTCCGTGACTGTGTGGGAGAAGCGCACATATCGTCGCTGGCGGTGCTGGGCGTCTTAATTAAAAGGCAAATCGATCACGTTGCGAGACACAGGGGTACTTTATTAAGAGCTGGCAGGCAGCCAGTCACGGCCTGTGCCACAGCCTTCCATGAACCCGGCGGGGGAAAGAGCGAGGAGGTTACCCCCCCCCCTCCCGGAGTAGACAATCACCACAATTGGCGAGTGCGAGAGCCTCCCTGGGCCATCGTGACGATCCATTTGTCTCAATTCCTGGCAATTTGTTCACTGGCAGCAGCCACCACTCGAGGAAGGAGGACCCGGCCAAGGGAAAAATTGCAGACGATGCCACAGCTCACATTGCACACACACAACAACAACAACCGCCATTCGCCACTAAGTGGCGGTGACGTCACCACGACGCTTGTGCCAGGCCATGTGCACCTTGAGGCCACGTGAAGTGTCGAACGCCCGCTGGCAGGAGGTCACGGGGCAGACCCAGGTGCCACAGGTCGACTGACTGAGATAACTGGCTGATGCACCACCTGTGCCCCCTATTATGCCAACCTGCTGTGCTTTAGCCACCTGGCGCTCCGCTAGTTGTTGTGAGCGTCGCTCCTCCGCCCTTCGTTGTTGTTGGAGGGCGACTGCCTCCAACTGCCCATTAGCGTCTTTCACGAGCCTCTGCCACAGAGGCCGATCTTGACACCGCTGGTACCAGTCATCGGCAAGTCCGCTCAGCTCCACGTCCTCCTGTACCACATCACTCCATCTCTTCTCTAGCCCGTGCCGCGCCCGTTTTGCCCCCACGATCCGGCCGAACAAAAGCTGTTTAGGCATGCGGTTGCTGGGCATGCGGGCTACATGACCCAGCCAACGCAGCCTTGCCTGCCGGAGGAGATCACCGATGGGACTTAGCCCAGATCTTTCAAGGATTTGTGATCTCCTCACACAATCCAGCCTGGTTAAACCCAGGATGGATCGTGGTCAGGCCAGCCTAAATGTTTCTAACCGGCGAAGATGCTCCATTAAGGGGGTCCACGTTTCGCAAGCGTAGAGAAGGGAGGGAATGACTGTGGCCGAGAATACTTGAAGCTTCGTATGGAGCGACAGACCAGGTAGCTTCCGCACAGCGTTACGTGACCGATGAAAAGATAATGCCGCTGGACTGATTCGGAGTGAGACCTCTGCTGTCAAACTGGAGCCGGTCATTAGCACACTGCCCAGGTATGGGGAACTCTCCACTCTCTCCACAACTGCTCCATCAGTTGTGGAGAGACACACACACACACCTGTACACACACACACACCTGTACACACACACACCTACGAAAGCCCCCCCGGAGGAAGTGCAGGAGAGCAATCTTGAGCTGCATGACTGTCCGATTTAGTTTTTTTTATTTAAATGTTGATCATTCCATTCAAAGCCCTTCACCGATTGTTGCAGAAAAAAGCCAGCTCTGGCCGGCAGGTATGAGGAAGAACAGGTTTCCCCCCCGCCCCCCGGGACTACGTCTGAACGCACGCACGGCAGACGCCACCGAGGCAGAGCTACAAGGAAACGCTTCGACGCGCAAGAGACCGCGCGCGACTAAAGAATCACCGAGTTCAATTCACGAGAGGAGACTGCGAATCCGCGCACCGCAGCCACGCGCCGGGAATCACACGGCGGTGCTCTCTGGAAATGGTTGGCGTCACGACGACACCGTTACGCGCGTTAATGATTTACGCAGCACTTATTGAACCCCACGTAATGTTTAACTCGCAGGTGTGCTTCTTAAACACACGAGGAAGATGTACTGTATGTTGGTCAAATTTTTTTTTAATGAATTATACAAAAGCTTCTAAAAATTAGCCCCACAAAGGCGCCGATGTGGGTGTGGCAATCTGACAGCCGCATCCACAAGCCAATCCCGAATGCCCATGGCCCAAACAGAAGAGCGCAGCACTGAGCCCTTCTGCACAGCGGTCCGGCCGCTCAGCTCATTGAAGAGAATACATCTCGGGAGATGATGACAACACTGGGGGCGGCAGCAGCAGAATCTCCAGCATCCAAAGTCGCGATTAATTGTTTTTATGCCACACAAACCTCTGTGGATGGGGCAGATGAAAAGCTCCCGTGTCCTCCATTGTGCTCCAGTGTGCGTACATGTGGGTACGTGTTGGCACGTGTGCATACTTGTGGGTACACATTCGTACGTGTGCGTCCCTGTGCCGGGACTACTCCGGCTGCTCCATAACCTGGGCAAGTCAGAGTTAATGACGGCGATGGCTCGATGGGATTGTCATGGGGTCGTGACTCACAAAACACATCGAGAGCAAGAGAGGACTTGCCCAAAGTCATTCATCAAGATCGAATGCGGTCAAGGATTAGCGGAGCTGAGATCAGCCTCCCGTGGTGGGGCGATGAGCCACCCCTCTTGCTCTGTACGCAGCGCGGCAGACACAGGAACGGTGTGCATCCAATGAAGCTTTACGAAAATAGAATCCAACACCAAGGCCAACGAAACGTGGGAATTCGGTCACTTAGATGCGCACTGGGTGAGAATGGCGCCACAGTGGCGAGATGTTCACTACCTCGCCTGCTATGCAGGAGGTCGTGGGTTTGATCCCGACCCTGATGCCTATATGCGGTCGCGTGGATTTTTCTCCGGGTCCTCCACATTTAAAAACATGCATTTAAAGTATTTGGCTCCAATAGATTACCACGTAGATAGATAGATCCTTTACATGATACGCCACTAAGTTGTGGTCAGGTCGCTTCTGTAAAATAGCTATATAGCTCAGTGGCACACGTATGGTTTCCACCAGCAATTGTGCACAGGTTGCATTGCACCGTGAATTAAAACCGGGCGTCGCTCTTCCCAGCCAGATCGACAGGGGATCGAATTAGCCGCAGCTTTAAAAGGCACGACTGGCTCTTAATTAATCGGCTCCACAAGGCGCCCCACGAAGCTCACTCGAATGCAATTATCACCTCGCGAGTGTTAATTGGGGAACCTTGCTGTGTAATATGTCGAGCACACGGTGCTGAGCCATATGCCTGTGGCATCGGGCACAGGCAGAGAGCTGAGACAGTGGACTCCCGTTCCTCTGAGCAGCCTTCCTCTAGGAAATGTGGTCCCTTCTTCACCACCACCGGCTGAAGCTCTAAGTGAAGGGGTTTGCAAGATTGCTTGATGATGAAATCACACACTCATTGCTTCAGGGTGAAATCGCACAACTCACCCTCACCCGGTCACACGTGCCTCTTTAAAACGGTATAACTGAGCCAGACCGGAGCTGTGCGGAGCCAGGCCAACACGGCTCAGGAGGTGTCAGGTTGTAACAATAGGGTTTTTCCCATTTTTTCTGGAAACAAAACTGCAACCTTCTTACAAGGATTCATGTCTGCATTAACCACAATACCTGCAGTCAAAATGCAAACAAAAAACATACTATGATAATATATGCATTGTCCTTAAAACTGATTGGTCCATACCAAGGGACGGCTTTCTTTTGAGCCTCAACCCAATTGGTGGTCGATTGGTGGTCGAGCACCAATTGGGTCGAGGCTCAAAAGAAAGCCGTCCTTTGGTGTGGACCAATCAGTTTCAAGAACAATGCATATATTATCATGGTATGTTTTTTGTTTGCATTTTGACTGCAGGTATTGTGGTTAATGCAGACATGAATCCTAGTAAGAAGGTTGCAGTTTTGTTGCCAGAAAAAAGGGGAAAAACCCTTTTATTACATTTTGGAACTGGCAAAGGAGGTCTAATGAGGTGTCAGGTTGTTTTTCCATTGCAAAAGCCAAGGCGTGCCACTGATGTCAAATGCAAGGGTTCGTTAGCACCACCCCTGTCCCTGCTTGGCCTCAAGCCAGATTGATATGGCTTGTGAGGTCAGCAAATCACAGTTCAGTCCTATCTTGGCACAGCAAATAGCCAGTGGACCCCGTACCATGAGGGCCCCGTGCTGGCTAGGCTCGGATGTACCAGAGCCGAGGACTGACCAAGCGACTTGTCCCATAGCCCTGGGCCATGAACTCACCTGAGCTGCAGGCAGAGCTGACAGCAACCTGGCACCCCACCGACGCCTCCTCCTCCACCGAGGTCAACTGCCCCAAGCCACTGCAGGTCGCCAGTACCCGCCGACGACGAATTAGGGGCAAGCCGGCACCCCTGGAACCAAGACGAGCCTGCGGCACACGCAGAAGACACGTGCACGCACACGGGAGTTATTGTAACTCGTTACAATACCACGGGTTGTCAATTCGTGCCATCGTTTGCATAAAAGAGTGCCCAACGGCAAGACATGTCACACACTAAAAAGTTTGCGTGTAATCATCTGGTCATAGAGCAATTACGTGCTTCTGAACGAGAGGGCCGCTGTGTGTCCGTTCTTAAAAAGATGTGGGCAGCTCTGTTGCGAGTGCACCTGGGTCGGGGGCCTCCAGCGCCCCTCCCCCACCCCCCCCCCACCCCCCCGTGTCCAACAGGCGCCCCATTGTGAGGGGGCGCCTGCTTGGCACGACGGGCAGAAAGCCGAGAGCGATAGGGGGCCCAAACGGAGGGGAACTCGCGCGCACGGAGGCCCGGGCGGAGAATGCCATCTCCCGTTGCAGGTCATCGCGACGCTGGCACGATGCATATCGGCGATCGGCGGAAAAATGAAGCCCAGGCCGAAATGAATGACTGCCGTGGGCACGGCGAACAGAGCGGTCCGTTCAAGGAAGCCACCGTTGAGGGACGCCATCGTCGGTGGCGTTGAGTGACGCGAGCCCGTGCCACGTTCCGCTCATCAGCCCCCAAGCCCAGAGATATAGCTCTCACTTGAGTCTGCTGGAAAGACTCAAAACATTCGTCAATAAACGCTGTGGCCTTAAAAATATATATATAACAGGTGATGTTTTGGGCGGAGGACCTTCATGGTATATAAACAAAGGGCCACTGTGCATAACGTGGCCTATCATATATTTTGAATTGTAAGGGTCGGTGTTATTGAAGAATGATTTGAGGTCTTTATTGTATTTTTTTGCTTGTGCACTACTGCCAATGTAGCAGCGGCACCAAATAATTAATTTACGTCAAGATACAAACTCATTACATTCACGTCCAGTAAAACGCTCTCTGTCCACACTCGCGAATGCGGAATTCACGAATGCAGAAACTTTGTTCCAATGGGAAAAATGGGATTACGTTCCTGGTACGGGTGAACATAGGTGGGGAAATGCGAAATGTTTAATAACAATAACGACAATAAATGAGTAATACATTATGAGGAAAAAGGTGTGTTTTTTTTTTAAATTACCTTTGATGATGACGATTTGACGACGATGGAGGCGGTGGTGATGGTGAGGAATTCAGGTGGATGACTCCTCGCGAGAGGCAGGTATTTGATAACAACGCCACACAGCTGTTATCTTTTTAGCACTCTGCGGTAGTGCTCGCCGCAACACTTTCCCTGACTGCATTCGCGTTCTCTTTAATGGACCTCACAGTCGACTCGTTTATACCAAAATGTGTAAACGAGTCTGCTGTAAGTACGTATGAAGTAAAAAATGCACACCAGCGAATTCAGAGCGGGATTACTGTGAGGCTGAGGACTAAGCGGGCAACCGAGGTGGCGTGCCTAATCTTCGCAGTTTCAAACGTAACAACGTTCTGCGCACACTTCCCTAGTGTCGCTGGTCTGGCACTACGCACACTCGCGAATACTGGAGTCTGGTGGGTCACAATAGGGAATTAATATGCATTCAGTAACTCGCGAATATGCGAAATTCGCAAATTCAAATTGGCTCATCTCGAGGGTTTACTCTGCTCATGTATGTAATGAAAGTGTAATTTGAGCTATAGTTAGAATCCTGAACTGTATCACTGTTGTACATTGTCACATCTAAGGAGGAGAGCTAGGTTCAATTCCGAGTGAAGCAGGTTGGAAACGTGCGATTAAAGAAAAAAATCACCCCTTTATTCAGCAATTAAATAACTTTAAAACTTGAATTGTACATCACAGGTAGTGGGGTAAAGTGTGGGTAATTGCACATCACCAACCTGCTACACTGCGTGCTCAACCTTTAACACTAACCACACTAAAAAAATATTTTACCAGGTAAGGACCACTAAGCTATGTAGCACTTTTTCAGAAGCGACCTGGCCACAAATGATAGCTCAACAAAGTGGCTGATCACGTGGAAATTTATAGCAGCCAAATACTCTAAACGCACGTTTCTAAATGTGGAGGGAAAAACCAGAGGACCCGGAGAAAAATCCACGCGACCACGCGGAGATAGACATGCAACCTCCAAATATACAGCAGCAGGCATCAGGGTTGGGATCGAACCGTGATCTCCTGTATACCAGGTGAGGTAGTTAACATCTCGCCACGGTGACGCCCTTCATTTATTTATAGAGGCAGATGTAGCATCAGATGTGGCATCTGCCTCTATATGAACCTCTCCTGCTCAGTCATCGGCATCAGAATGTTTGTTTAGGCTCAAGGAGGAATCCGATGAGCTATGAAGCTCTTTTTCACAGAAGTCAAGTAGAGGCGGGAAAGAAAGCTACAAAACAATACAGAACAACTATAGGAGTGCAAAGTATAGGAAAGGTCAGCAAATCACCAAAAATAAATACGTAAAATAGATCATGTACGTAAGTTCACATTGTAAAAGTACTGTACACCAATTCCCACGCTTGCGCAAGGCAGCTAAACAACAGCAAAATCGGTCCCAAAACCACACCAAGACAACACACTATCCCTCAATATAATTGAACATTAAAATATAACTAATGTAACTATCGATACATGGGTAAGGATGAAAGTTACAAATGACATTGGCAAATTCAGTTGTAAGCAGCACTAATCTTCTGCTTCAGGATATTTTTTGAAGGAAGATTTACGATGGCAAGGGAGGAAACAAGGTTGTTCCGAATCAGGTTGTCATCATTATCATCAGCCACAATCAATCCACAGCTCAATGAAGGCTTCTCCAAATCATTGCCATCCCTCCCGTCTCTGTGTAGTAGCAAGCCATGTATCTAATACTAAACCAAACTAGAGATATTTTTTTGCAGGTGAGGCTCACTGAGCTATATATACATTTTTTTCAGAAGTGAAATGGCCACAAATGATAGCTCAACGAAGTGGCTTATCACGTGGAAATGTATTGCAACCAGATACTCGAAACGCATGTTTATACATTTGGAGGGTAAAAACCAGAGGACCCGGAGACAAATCTATGCAACAGGCGTTAGGGTCGGGATCGAACCCAAGACCTCCTGTATACCAAGCGAGGCAGTTAACATCTCTTAGCCACCGTGGCACCCACATTTATCATCAGCACACCAGCTAATTTCCTTGTTCCATCTCCGCAGTAGACGAACTCTCGGACATCACCCCGGTTACGGTCGCCACTCTCTCGTCAGTCTCGGCCACCGCGAACAATCCACTTGCGCCACTCAAGACTCACGTCCCCTTCTAGCGCAGTGTTTTTAGGTTCGATTACATTTAAAGGATATATAAACATTTTTTTATCTCACGATCACTGAATCCGCTTGTTTACCCAGAAGAAAGCCAAAGTCGTCACAGTAGGCGGGCGATGTTTGCTATAAATATTCCATTTTAGTTATTTGCGGTGTCGTTTATCAATTTCTGGAGCATGACACCGCGGCACACAATGGGACCACTCTTGCCAAAGACATCACGGGACCTTTAACGTCCGCTGTGAACGTTGTAAACAAAGACATTGCAAGTGTAATCGCTTGAATATGAATCAGTCTAGGCGTTGAGTTGAAGACGCAAACTGGAATATTAAGTGAATAAAGAGACGATGAAGGAGATTGACGAGACATATCGCGCGCACAGACTATCGATTCGTGACCCAGCTTGTGGTCGCGCAAGAGTTGTCACGACACGTAACTTGAACACGCCGAGAAAATGGGTTAACTTTTTTAGAGAGATTTTAGTTAATTAGTTTAGATTGGAGTTTATGGGTTAATCAGCGGGGGGGGGGGGGGGGCGTTCACGAACCCAGTACTGCACAGATTCAGAATCAGAATGTTTATTCACACTGGAGGATTCAGTGGACAGACGAGCAAGAGAAAATGACGTGTTCACGATACGATGACTACACGAGCATATCAACGCCACCACCACCGTCATTATCGTCTCGTCTTCCCATCCTCCTATAGCAATGTCACAAGGACATTCGCTGAACTGCTTGAAAAGAAATCTCAGCCGTCGTCACCACCGCACACTACGGGCACAAGGCGCTCTTCCCGTGGCTCATCCACGAGCGAGTAGGAGCGGGGTTTGGCGGCGGACGGAGATGAACCGTGTGCCATGACATCTCACCGTTTATGCTCGCCTCAGTGTCAGCAGCGGTGGCAGGAGTCGCAGTGGTGACCACGGCGAGCAGGGAAGAGGCGAGAGTGAGCCGGAGACCCACGGTGAGCAGAACCGGCCGGGGCTGTCTCCCCATGCTCGAGCCGGGGCGCCTCCGATGGGAGGGTCTGGCTCAACTCGTAGCGGGGCTTCACCTGGCGGCCGGGCTCACGTGGAGGTCTGCCTCACCTGGCGGGCCGGCACACCTGGGGCCGCCCCTCCTCCGTGTGCGCCGCGCCTCTCCATGCCAGCACCGGGGCAGAGCGCGCGGGCCAGGGAGGGGCCACGAGGGGAGTTCCCGCACTGGGGCTGACGTCAGGGGAAGGCTGTGGGACGCCAGTGGCCAGTTGCGTAAATGCCTCGCCCAAGTGGGTTTAACTGGGGACTTTCTTCGCTGTGCTTTCGGGGTCGTACCCGGGGAGCGAAACGTCGGACATCGTGCTAAACAAAACGCGGCACAAACCGAGAATGCATCGGAGAGCTACCCCCGGGGCAATCGCGAAAACCGACGCAGGTGCGCTTCTCATGAATCGAGAAATAATGAACAACCGTTTGTCAAGTCACTGCTGCATTACGGCTACCAAGTCACTGCTGCATTACGGAATAACCCCCGTGACCTTGTAGGTCACGGGGGTTATTTCACCGTATTTCACCACGCGCAGAGCAATAACGGTCTGAAAGCCATCGGCGGAGAAACGTCGCCTCATTCAATATGTCCTCGCGTTCCCTGCCAGATACGCAAGACCACATTACACGGCGCAGACGACAACAAAGTGGTCGTGAGGGATGGCCATCGATATTCTCCTGTAACGCACGTGTCATTTTGGTAACGCGAATTGGATACAACGCAATGAATGTATGGGGGAACACTTTTAGTATAACGCGGAAGCGACTTGGATATAACGCGATTGAGTGAACAGATCTATGTCGCGTGAGTAGGGGGCCGTCCATAAATGACGTCACGCACCTAGAGGGGGGGGGGGTTAAGACATTTATGACGATGCGTGACGATGGGGGGGGGGGGGGGGTGAGAAATGTGACGTCACATAAAAATGCGCAACTTTAAATAAATATAGACGACACGTTCTACTTAAATAGACTTTTTTTTTATAAATGTTTTTGAAGCATGTTTTATTTTCAAAATGGAAATATGGTTGGGGGGGGGAGGGCAGCGCTTTGTGACGGAGACAAATCCAGCCTGCGTACGTATATCTCGCTATCGCGGACTCTGCATTACCCCATATTATATATTATATTATATATTGTTTATTAGAACGCTATTTGTTGTTTTCAAAACGCGGTGTCCTTCAGGAACGCAACTACCGCGTTCGAGGAGAACGGTCTGTGCGAGTTGCGTGGTTGAATGTCGTGCGGGATGCGGTGCCACATTAGAAGCCTCTCTGACCCACGTTGCACTGTAATTGTGCTTTACGGATAGCTCGAAAAGTTTGGTCTTCAACAGCACACGACCAGAGGCGATCGAAATGATCACAGTCAATATGTTGGGGAAGACCGCAGGGACATCTCAAATGTCGATGCGATATGTGCCGCCAAAAAGCCTGTTCGACACGTGAAGAATTAGAGGAGATGACAGTCAATATGATACAATATTCACACGACCAAATCTGTGTGGAGTTTTATCAATAAAGCCAAACAGTTATCGAATTATGCTAATTCAAGGACGGGTGATAGCTTTATGGACACCCTATAGGTACTGTATAGTGTATATGACATTCTGATGGGCCATTCGCGTTACCACCAGGGTCTAGCATTCATCTCTGAGCTATATAGCATGAACAGATTTCGTCCCAAGCTGTACATTCCTGCGTCATGAATCACCTTCCCACCGGACCAACTTCCCTCTCAGAATCGACTGCGTACAGAGGGCTGAGTGACTGGAGGACATTCAGACAGCTAACCCGCAAGGCCTAGGACTGTGCCATGAAGCTGTCAGCGGGCCTTCTGTGCACCTAGCCTGGCACAAGTGCCACAATGACCGAACTGCGTTCCATGAGAATGAAAAAATGTGGCACAAATATCGTTGTATGCTTATAACAAAAATTAATCAGATTTTGCCCCCCCCCCCAAAAAAAAAAATCATGGTTCAAGTCACTCGCAGAGAAGGGGTGGGCTTAAATTACTAACTGGCTTTAAGTCTCAGGGTAAACACGCGAACCCATCTAAACCAAGCGATTTACCTCCCGTGGAGTGTGACGCTAAAGCCGATATAAAGCGAGAAAATCCGATTAGTCAGCACGCAAACACACACACACACCACGTGTTTCTCACGTTGGCAAGGAAAGCCTCGCTGAGGTCTTTAGCTCCCTTCCATAGACGCGCAAATGCGGGGTGATTGAGGAGCATCTTCTCAGTCGTGAATCGAGGCAAATCGCCTACCCTGGGAGAAAACGCCGTGCACGCGTGGAGAGATTGTTGGGCTCTGTTGTGAAGCTATCGCGACCCAAACCATGATGGCTGTGACTTGGTAACAGCGCCAGGACCGAGTGTGACTTTCACGGCGCGGTAGTGATGGTTAGTGGCGTGTCATGTTTACCAATCATCTAGTGCGTGCAAATGCGTAACGCGTTCACTTGTACTTGAGCGTGCGCGGTGAGGAAGCCCGATCTAGAAGCTGTAGATTCAAGTCACTGGCGGTCACCGCCCTCCGCAGGGCTCATCAGCAGGACGAGGCGGGAGGCTCAACTCGGTCACCGCGCGGTCGTGAGGACCACGGTTTCAATCGCCATGGCCTCGACGGGCGGACAGCGCCACCTGCTGTCGGTGTGCGGGGCAGGCCACGGGGCCACCACTGCACCAGACGGTGCCGTCCGCCAGGTGGCGCGCACCAACAGGGCACCGGACACCTCTGCGGGGCGTTTGGAATTGAAGCACCCAGGGCAAGGAGACACGGGCGCACGAGGAGACGGAAACTCCGTGAATTCTATTACACGCACACCGTGACACATTATCATCATCGTCGCCGTCGTAATCATCCATGAACTATTCCAGGTGGCTCAGCGATAGAAACGTGTTTTTAGAGTATCTGGCTGCTACAAATGTCCGTACGATAGTCCACTTCGTTGAGCTGTCGTTTGTGATAGCCAGGTCGGTCCCGCGTCGCTCAGTGGGGCCTCATTTGCGAAGATAAATAATAAATAGAGCGAGCGGCTCGCAATCCGAAGGTTGGGAGTTAAAATCCTGGTCTGGCCTTGATTCAACCTGTCATCCGTCCGGGATAAATAAACATTGGTAACACTTTATAACAAAGTCACAGGTGCCTGTCCTATGGAAAGACCCACGCCCGCCAAAGGAGTGTGGAATTTCCACCACTAGCTCAAGGGCTGTAAACAGGAGATGAGCACCGCCTCAGTTGAAAACTCACTTCTTTAGCGCTGCTTTTGTGTTTGGTTTGTTGTCCTTCCCCACACCTCCGATTAGAACGGTTGGCTACGTACGGTGCTAAAGAAGTTCAACATGCATTCGTACAATTCTTGTTTGAGCAGGAAAGCACTTTGGCTGTCCATCGCTATCCATCGCTGTCCATCACCACCCATCGCTGTCCATCACCACCCATCACATCGCCATCCATCGCTGTCCATCACCACCCATCACATCACCACCCATCACATCACCACCCATCACATCACCACCCATCGCTGCCCATCACCACCCATCACATCGCCACCCATCGTTGCCCATCACCACCCATCACAGCCTCGCGATGCAACATCCCATCTCGCTCCTGCACAGGAGCTCACCTCACGGCTCTTTCTCCACGGTGGACGTCTCTCGGACATCATCTCTCTCCTTGTGGCTCTCACTCTATCGCCCGTGTTGACCGCTGGCCATCGTCCCTTCTAGCCATGTGTCTTGTGCGGCCCATTGCCCTCACAGTGTATACGCGATCTTTCTAATTTATTCCCCGATTGGTGCACTAATCCTTCCCTCTCTCCTCGGCGCAATTACAATCAGTATACCTCTCCGTGCGTCATGTAAACACGTGCTCCCTTTTCTTTTATACGTGTTCGTGTTTCTAATTCATATGTCAGAGCACTGCCAAACTCACCAACCATCCTCTCGGCTCAGAACTGTTTAATCACTTTTGCATGACTTTAGCGATCTCTCTGTGCTTACGCGTATCTCATTATAATGGGCGACTCTAAACGAACTTCATATGAACGCAGACATTGCTTTTGCATCATTGAAAACTAAAGATCATTGTGTGCTGCCATTTCTGGAATCAGTTAAGTGCCGTGAACAAGGGCCAATTCCATTGTGCGGAGCCAGTTTATTCTTCGCGCTGTGATTTTAACAACATTGGCATGGTCACCCCCAGAAATAATAGCCCAGAGCACACAGCCTCCTCTTTGCTAGGGCGACTATGGCGCCACTTAGACATCGTTCAGTTAGAAAGTCAACAATCGTCATGCCTCGCTGGTGTAGTATTCTGTTAGCGGACGGGCAGCCAGAGTGGTAGACTAATTGTATCACAAACACCGCGTGCTCATACGTTTAGCGGGGGCAAGACTTTCCCCAACAGGGGCAGCTGCTGTCCTTGTCACAACCCCTCCTCCCTCGTCCCGTGTCATTTGCAGGGAGCAAGGCAGACACAGCTCCCCCGGTGTGTGTGTGTGGGTGTGTGTTTTCATCGTTGTACCTCGTGTCGTTTGGCATCATGTGCCACCATTCGCTCTCCATGCTGGGAGCTTCTTCAGGAATTTGAGTCCAGCACGTGGAGCGAAACGTCGGACATCGTGCCGAAACAAGTGCACGTAGGGGAGCCACGCAGCACAACCGCGTAAACGCGCGCAGCAGTGAGGCAGGACGTGTCCACGTGCCGCTGCGGGAAGCCTCGTTTGGGATCTGGAACAACGTCTCGCTGACGAGACAAGTTGGAGATATCCACCAGAACGATGCTCCAAGCAGAGAGAAACAAGGGTCATGGCCAGCAGAAATGGTCGAGAAACGAATTCACACATGTCCCGGTGTTGGTGATGGTATGGCGACGTCGCTGCCAGGAGCTGTGCTATGCCCATGCTGTTCCAACACGCTCTCTCCCTCAACAGCGATGTTCGCATATGAAGTGAACTTGTTATTTTTACGACGAACATCTTTTGTTTTGGATTCCAGCACGTGTTCACTGCAGAGCAATATCGCTTTAAACGGCAAACACACTCCTGTGCAATTTGTCTGAGTGCCGTGCCATTCGTCGGCGCTGCTGCTGCTGCTTACAGACACGAGTGCAACACGAATGGATCCCACATCGGAAGAGCAACACATTTGTTTGGTAACCGCGTCGCCCGTCGTGCCCGGTGACCGGCCTAACCCTCGGCACGTGGCCTCTCAAATAGGTCGGCTGGAGCGCTGCCAGGCTGGGCGCCACGGCCTTCACAGCCGCCAACGATGACAGGCGAACAACGCACGCGAGCTCACCACGACAGAAGACACACACACACAAACGCCACCAATTATTCCTGCCGGTTTAAGAATAAATATAGCGTGGCATGGACATTTACCAACAACCCCTCCCTCCCAAAAAAAAAAACAAATCTGCTGGTGGCAAGCCCCAGGACTTATGTGCAGAATTCCTCCGTTGGTTTATTTATTTTCAGTCAAAAGTAATTTTTTTACAAGCTGCCTTTTTTTTGGTACCAGTGCGGAGAC